TGCTTTTGGTCATGGTTTCATCACAGCAAAATAAAGAAGCAACCTAACACTTATGAGATGAAATGTCCACATGCAAAAGCTAAGTCTTGTTGGAACACAGCCACACTTAATTATCGGCAGTGTCCGCGGCTCTACGGTGGCAAAGCTGAACTCGTACCCGAGAGACAGCACGTCCTGAAAAGTCTCCAACAATGCTTGCCAGCTGATCCTTTTCGGGAATCTGCTGGACCCTGTTCTACATGAGTTAGGGGTAATTCTAGTCTCCATCCACCATTTGTTACTATTGTTACCGTTATTAGTGTTGAGAGGGAATGAAACCCAGTTCGGGGCCAGTGGACCACAAGGTGAAGCCTGACCAAAATCTGTCAGGGAGGAGAGAGGTGTTTTCCTCGGATGGAAAGAGGCGTGAGGATGCTTCCTTCTTACTTGGACAATGCATGTAAGGCTGTAACACACAAGAGTTGTGGCAGCTGACTTCGAGTCACTAGGGAAAAGGCAATCATGGAAAAATCTAAGCCAGACCTGGCTGAGCTGTTAGCCAACCCGGCTCTCCCTACTTCTAGATATCTTTTCATATACAAAATGGCTATTATTACAGCTTGGGGATTATGTTACCTGTTACCAAGTTTGTCGTAAATGCACGAGGGGAGAAATTTTTTTTCAGTTATGGCATGTTCTCTATTATTGATGACTCACAAAATTGTGAGCAGTTATGAGCATCATCTGTAATTATTTTGCCATTACATTTTATCCTTAAAAATACACAAGTTGCCGGGTGGTGGTGGCGCACGCCTTTAATCTCAGCACTCGGGAGGCAGAGGCCGGCGGATCTCTGTGAGTTTGAGGCCTTTCCGGCCTTCATTTTTGCAATACCATAAAGATTCCCAAAGATACGTAAAGGAAATTGCCTCCTTTCAGACATTGTTCTAACAACTACTTCACTGATGCAAATCTCCCTTTTATTTCACAGTTTCATAGAAATCCAAATCTGTTTGTTCTTTCAATCTCAAATATTGGCTGTCCTGATTCCAAACAAGACTCGAGGGGGTTTTCAACAAAAGTTCTATGTAGTGGGTACTGAAACTGTGTAATTAAAGCATTCTTTTCCCTCACTTAACCAAATGAATATATGGATCTGAGATGTTCTGTGTTTGTGATCTGTTTGCAACTCCAGTTACCACACTTGGTTATTTTTTCCCCCTGTGATGTCATTTACCTGCACATTGTGAAATCTGGTGCACTGACCACGGCTTGATGATTCCTGTGGTCAATCTGTCTGTCCTCTCACCTGCGTCAAACCGGCTTCCATTCCAGCTCGGCCACAGTGACATCTTGCGCAATCCCGAGGGGAGCCGGCCCCTGCCTTGAGCAGAGAGGCCAGTGTGTGACTGTGTTTGCTCATTTGGAATTCAGCTCTGAACTACATTCTGTTGGTCAGTGAGAGCAGTGTTCCATGCCTATGACAGGAGTTTTCAAGTGGAGAGGGAGATGGTTCCACGGTTAAGAGCACTTGCTACGCTCAGAGGCCCCAGCACATGAATAAGGCCGCTCATAACCACCCGTAACTCTAGTTAGGAACTACAACTTTCCCTTCCAGCCTCCACAGGCACCAGCATGCATGTGTTCAGACAAATGCCTACATTAAAAATATTAAATATATCTTAAAAGAAAAAGAAGCCCCAACATCCTTGGGGACTCCTTGAACAGAGTTGCCTAGGTACTTTATTTAGAGGGACTCTAAAGCTCTCCAATCAGTTCTTTCTTTCTTTTTTTTAATCAGTTCTTTCTTAAGTATCAATATATTTGTGTCTCATTTCCTCGAACAAAAATACTAGGAAAGAGGGATTTTTAAGCTAGTCCAGGAACTGATTCCTACAGCCCCTTTACTTTGGAAAAGAAGCCTTCCTAGAGATTAAGAGCATCTCTGGACAGGGCTCTCCTGAATCCAGTTGTCCCCATAGCCGACCCACCCTCCCCCTTCCTCTATCTCTCTCAGACCCTCATTTGCACCAGCCAACATGTCACACGTGGGGACTCATTGTGCAAACCAACCAGAGGATAAATGGACAAGCGTTTCTACAGAACGGCCAGCTTTATAGATTCGAGGCTTAAATTCCTTTCAGCAGAACCTCAGTTATTTCTTAGTTACAGCGCAAACTGAGGCCGAGCGTTGTCAAGAGGATATTAGGAGAAGCGTAGCGGTGTGGCGTGGGAGTCCTGGGAACCAGCTGGAAAGAAAGGAGAGGAAGGAACCCAACCAGGACAAAACAGGGCACTAGCCTGGGGACCAGGGGCTCATCAAGGTTGCCAAGTCACCACCTGGAGTAGCAGTGACCACATGGTGGCTCCAGTAGCTTGTCCCTGGAGGACAGAGAACCACAAAAGTGCTGGCCACACAGCCATTCTGTGGCTAATTTATTTATTTGTTTTTTTAAGACTGGTTTTCTCTGGGTAGCCCTGGCTGTCCTGGAACTCACTCTGTAGACCAGGCTGGCCTTGTACTCAGAGATCCACCTGCCTCTGCTTCCTGAGTGCTGGGATTAAAGGCATGTGCACCATCACTGCATGGCATAGCTAAGGATTTTTAAAGAATAAGAAACTCACTAAAGGTCACACAAGGACTTTGACTACACATCCTGGCTCTAAGTCATGTGCTCTTTTTGATCTGTAACAGAAGGCCTGGTCTGTCCTCAATTAGGTTTCCCTTAGGTCTGCAAGGCCACTGGGCCAGGAGGCACAGCAAAGCTGCTGAAGGTTCCGACGTGTTAGGCCACATGTCACTCTGAACAACTCATCCAAATTCCCTGGCTTGTTTCTATAGTTACACAAGTGCCAGGTCTAAGGGGCTGATGCTGACCAGTTCCCTACATATTGGGTTCTCTGACTTGTTACAGCATACACTAAGGCCAGGAAGAGCTGACCCTTGTACACTCATGTTACATACTAAAACACATCACACCAAATATTCAAGTCAGTGACACCCTTTATCAATCACTTAATTTTTAACTGGCTATAATCCAATACCATATTTTTTTTTTGAGATAAGGGTCCATTACAGAGTCCATTTCTCCATCTTCCTGCCCAAGCCTCCTGAACACTGGACTGACAGGCTGGACCACCCTACCAGGCTTACTAGGGTGAGTAAGGCAGGGCATTGGGAGTTGGTAGTTAGCTTGAGCAACAGAATGAGATGCTATGTCAAAAAAAGAAAGGAAGAAAGAAAGGAAGGAAGAAAAAGAAGAAACTACAATATAGAAAATGGAAATAGTTATGGGAGGCTAAAGCAGAGTGGGAAGGTGGTGGCTAAGTGTCACATGAATCCCAAGAATCTTCTAATTTAGGGCTAGCACTAAAGATAACCGTATCACTCCTGTGAACCACATCTTTCTTAAGTATTTTCAGCTTCTTTTGATTTCATTATATCTTTAAAGATTTTATTACTTTTATGTGCAAACGTGTGTATGCAAGTGTGTGTGTGTGTGTCTGTGTGTGTGTGTGTACCCCCATGTACATGCAGTTGTCTGCAGAAACCAGAAGAGGGTGGAGGGAGTTGGATCCACCAGGGCTGAACTTTCGAGCCACCATTTGTGGGTTCTGGGAACTGAACTCTAGTCCTCTGGAGGAAGTGTTCTAATTTCACTCTGTGCTGTATAAAACACTCTGATAAACAGCAGCTTGAGGGAGGGAAGGGTTTATTTGGCATACACTTTCAGGTTGAGGGAAGTCAAGACAGGAACTCAAGGCAGAAGCCATGAAGAAATACAGATTACTAGCTCACTCTTTAGGTTGACCCCTGGCTCGATGTTTAGCTAGCTTTTTTATACAATCCAGGACCACCTGCCCAAGGAATGATGCCACCCATAGTGGGCTGGGTCCTCCAATGTCAATTACCAATGAAGACATTCTGGGACAAACACATCCTCAGACAAACCGGATCTAGGAAATTCCTCTCCTGTGGCTTCTCCTCTCACACAATTCTAGGCTTGAGTCAAGCTGACAAGCAGCAAGAGCTCTGTACCTCTGAACCATCATTCCAACTTCTAGATAAAGTGTTAGAGGAATATATCACTACGAACCACAAAACTAGGGAGGCTGCCTTGTAGCGGCAGTTTACACGGGTGCCTTTTCCATAATGATCCTGGGGATGGATTTCCTTGGGGTTGAAAGACTGAAATTTAAACCAATACAAAGCAAACGAACAAACAAGAAAATCAAAACTGATGGGCTAGGGATGTAGCCTGGTTGGTAGAGTGCTTGCCTGGCATGCAAGAAGCTCTGGGTTTGATCCCAAGTACCTCATAAAACCAAGCCTCCCTGCACTTGGAAGGTGGAGACAGGAAGATCAAAAGTTCACGGCCATCCTTAGCCACATAGCAAGTTAAGCCTGGGCCAGTGAGTCCCTTCCCTGTCTCTAAACAAATAGATAACTTTAATAGATGGACATAAGTGAATTTATGTTTCACCACTACCATTCTAATCATTTTCATTTACCGTTAAAGCCACAGCCTCCGGGGCTGGATAATGCTGGATAATGTCGGGAGACCTCAAGGTGAGTCCTCCTGGAAGCTGCCACCAACCCTCAGGGCCCGCCAGCCACGCTGCCAGTGTGGAGAGCAGACTTCCGGGCCTCGGGAGGGAGGGGCCTCGGGTGGGGAGGGCCGGCAGGGGAGGGGCTTCTGGAGGGAGGGGCTTCTGGAGGGAGGGACCTCGTGTGTGGGGGGGGAAGGGTTGGGGGAGCCGTGGAGGGGTTTCGAGAGGGAGGGGCGGAGGGGGGGAGGGGCCTCGGGGGCGGGAGGAGGGCCAGTGGAGGGTCTCGGGAGGGAGGGGAGGAGGGCCGGACCCACACTGCGACCTTAAAGAGTGTCCCGGGGCCGCGGCCGCCAGGGGAGCGCGGACGGCGGAGTGCGAGCCCGTGCAGCCAGGCGCGGCGGTGAGGTGGCCGGCGCAGGAGGGAGCGGGCGGGCGGGCGGGTTAGGGAACGCGGCCTGACAGTCCCCGCCCTGCCGCACACGTGCTGCGACACCGGCGCGGACCGGGCTTGCGGCCGGGTCCCGGGAGGCGCAGGGGGTCGGGCGGGCTCTGCCTCGAGCGGTGCCGCGCGGGGTGCGCGCGCTGCGCGGGGAGGCATCCCGTGCAGGCCGGGTGACGCGCTCCGCAGCTGCAGCAGTAGTGGGCACCCCGGTGCCCGGCCGAAGGGTTTGGATGGTGGTGGCATGCGGCCTCCTGCCACCCAGCTGCAGCGGGAGACAGGTCTTCCCTAGCGAAATGCAGCCTCACCCGGTTCGACCACCGAAGAAGTTATTTTCCTCTCGGAACCAGTAGCAGTGTTGGCGTTGTTTCTGCGACTCCTGGGTAGTTTGAAGGAGGAGGGTGGGACGCTTGAAAGGATTCGGGTTTTCTACTCCAAACGGTACAGCAAGCTCCTAAGTCAGTTTAAATCCGTGAGTGCGGACCAGTCTGGTTTGTGCAAGTCCTGCATTCTCTTGGAGCCACATTTCATACTCACTTCCTTCTGCATGCTCTCTGGGTTCATCTGTTAGTACCGTTTCTGTTTTCTGTAATTTGACAGTTATCCCTGAGAAGGAGAGTTAAGTGGTAGAGTGCTTGGCTAGTATGCAGGAAGGTAGGTGTGATCTCCAGCATGGGAAAGCATTTTTTATATATATTAATCTGTTTTTGAAATTATAATTAAGATCATTTCCTCTCTCCGCTTTTCTACTTATAATCCATTCTATGTAACTCCCCTTCTGAAATTCATGCCCCACCCCTCTTTTGGTTTTTTGAGAAAGGACTTCTCCGTGTAGTTTTGGTGCCGGTCCTGGAACTTGCTCTGTAGACCAGGCTGGACTGGAACTCACAGAGATCCACCTGGCTCTGCCTCCTAAGTGCTGGGCTTAAAGGCGTGCACCACCACCGCCGCTGGGCGCTAAGATGCTTTTTTCTGTGCCTTCCAACTTAGTAAAAGAAATGAATACATTGAAGTTTATCTGAGGCCACTTTGAATGTTACCCCTGTAGTCAGCCTTTTATTTTCTCTGCAAAAATGTAGCCCTGGGTGTTTCTGTAAACTACCGTGTTGCTAATTTAAAAAGAAACTTTTTTTTTTTTTTAGAAAAGAAAGTTCTTGGAATAGAGTCATTGACAAAGTGTTTTTCACAAATTCTTGGTTGCTGCCATTATTTTCTTGACTTTCAGGATGGCTTTGGCCTTTGAAAGAACCTTGGCCTAATACACCAACCTCCTCAGTGTGATGAGGAATGAAACTGTCCTGTTAGATGTAAATCAATTCTGTGTTTGGAGAAGATACAGAATAGTTTGAGCAATGGGTAATTTTGATCTTGTGTGTTAAGGAGTCCTCCATTTTTTTTTTTCTAGTTAGCATTAAGTCCATGTCTCAGCGAGTTGGTTTTTTTTTTTTTGTCTAAAGGTAGAGGAAGGCTTCAACACAAACATTTCAAGTTGTCCTGTAGAGAACGTTGGCCACTTGACTCTCTGAGACTTACCTCTGGGATTCTGGTCAAGTAAAATCCGAACCCAGTAGTCCAGATGTTGCACCGAAGTGTGGCTGGCCCACATTATCAGCCTTACCTGGGAGCTTGGGCTGTGAGAATCTCTGGTCCTACTTGAGGCCTGTTGAATCAGAATCTGAATTGTAACAAGACTTTAGGTAAATCGACGCTTTTACTGCTGAAACCTGATGGGATGGTGAGAAGAACAGGGCCAGGGCTCTATTCTGGACCTTGTGGCAGTTTTGACTGCCTGTGCCTGGTAATTCTATAATCCACCTTGTCTAGACGGAGACCTCCGGTTTGGGAGCCACGTGACTCAATGGAGCGCCTAGGCTCTGGTACTCAGTGGCACAGGCTGCTGTCTGAAATAATGACAGCCCGGTGGACTGGACTTTCACCATAGACCTCTGAAGCACTAGTCTGGTGTGGTCTGGGCCGTTTGTGATTGGTTCCTTTTCTGCTGTTTGTTGTCGAGGTTTTCATCCAGATTGTTTGGGGTGCCGTAGGGGCCTATAGCAGTGATACCGAGGGAAGGTGTTCATGTGTGAGCTCTTGGAGGGGAAGTGGATTACTTGGCTGTGTTGATACATTAAGCCTCCTTAGGAACCCATTTTCCCACTCCCCAAAGTTAAGGGTAGTAACTTAGGCTTAGAGAATGGGGGACCGCAGAGGCTAACTGAACATTTCCTTCTTCCCAGGGATATGTGGTGCACACCCTACACTCTAGAGAACTGCCTTCCACAGAACCCAGGGACACCATGAAGTCCAATCCTGCCATCCAAGCTGCCATTGACCTCACGGCAGGGGCCGCAGGTAATCCTTAGGGGGAAAAAAATCCTTCCCCCTGTATTCCTGAAGTACTTCCTTAGAGTGGTTTGGAAATTATTACCCCATAGGTAATGTACTCTACCCTCAGAATGAATCAACTTAGTGGAAATGTGATATTGTTCAGAGTGTGGCAGCAAGTATGATACAGTAGTGTTTAGTTATATCAGAGCTTTACCAGTCAGTGCAGGATGACGATGTCCCTGGTATTGCTAGAAAACATCTCACTTCCAAAATGAACTGCTAACTCACTTGGCTACTGTCACATGCTAGGATAGGCATGTGGCAGTGGGTCACCCCAAGCTGGGCAGTCTTCAGACCTTTTGTAGTACAAAATGCCAGTTACTCTTCTTTTTTTGTTTTAAGATCTAGTTTATTTCTATTCACGAGTATGTGTGTGTCTGTGGGAGTATCTGCCACGTGTGAGTAGGTGCTCGAGGTGACTGGAATTGCATATTGGATCCCATCCCCTGGAGCTGGAGTCATAGGCGGTTGTGGGCCACCCATGTGGGCGCTGGGAACCAAAAGTAAGTCCCTCTAGAAGTGCAGTAAGCTGAGCCCTTTTTCCAGCTCCTCTGTTACTTTTCTTATTGGTGATAGGAAAGAAAGGAAGGCCCCCTTTGGCAATGAGGCTGATACTCCTCAGTGTCTCCAGGCGTGGAAGGGAAGAAGATGCAGAATCTTTTGAGAATGGGCAGTTGAGGCTGACCCTCAGATCCTGAGCCTAAGAGCCGTCTGGAGCCGGGGCTGGTGACCTGAGGCCACTGTAAAAAGACTACCTTTTTAACATGTGGGTGTAAGGAGAAGCTTAGTCTGGGGCAAAAAGAATTGGATACCCATGATAGTCATTTTGTTTTCAAAGTTCCCTGTCATCTTAGGGGCAACGGCACACTGGCAGGCACGTTTCCCAAGGGAACCTTTGATCTACCCTAGCCCCCCACATTCAATTCTTGTAAATGGGGAAGCCAGAGCACCACATTGCTCGATGTTCTCTTATCCAGTATGACCTCTTGGGTCAACAGATCAAGTGTGGTCAGGGGACTACCACCTCTCACTCTGTCTGTCCTTTGTTCAGCTGTAAAAAAGTCCTTGTACAGAGAACAACTCCCTCTCTCCCCCCCTCCCCCCAGTTATTCCACCCCCCTCCATGAACCAAAGGTCAAAATTGGTTCAGAAGGAAGGCTGATAAGGATCCCCGGGCAAGGACACCTCTCCAGGCTAGAGACAGGAGCGTTCCAGTCTGGTGAGCAGGTCCAGCAGCTAGCAAGGTTGTGCCCCAACGTGTTAATTAACCACTGTGGGTCTTCAGGTCAGTCCCCACTACTTTGTGGAAGGGAGGATGGGCCAATCCCTTGGATCTCATTCCCTCCTCTTAGTCCTAGTCATAGGGTTAAGTCAATTCCCTCCTCTTAGTCCTAAGTCATAGGATTAAGTCCATTCCCTCCTCTTAGTCCTAAATCATAGGATTAAGTCAGTTCCCTCCTCTTAGTCCTGGTCACAGGGTTAAGTCAGTTCCCTCCTCTTGTCCTCATGCCAGGCTGTGGAGATGCTGATTGGAAGTGACACAAACATCCGCTAGCTAGCTCTGGCTAGTGGAGAGCATTGCGTGTTCCACTCTTGCCTCTTCAGTAAGGTGTGCAGTCTCTTGAGAGAGTCTCAACTTTGGCAGTCTGTGCTCTTCCATCAGTCTAAGAACAAACAAGACTTTATTGCAATAATTTTTCAAGAAGTTTACCTCTTCCCTGACCATGTGCATTCAGATATTTGAGTAGCACTTAGCGGTTATATTTTTATGTAAATTGCAATAATATTGTTGGGAGCCTCGTGTAGACGACAACTGCCAGTGGGCTTTTTCTGTTTTAAACAATGATAAGGTGTCCATATATTGACATTAATATTCTTCTGCTGCCTGTGGTTTAGGATCTCTCCCTGGGCTTGGGAACACAAGGCTGCCCCCAGAGATGCTGGATTTGTGATTTCTGAGCACAAGTTTGCTGATGGGGGTAGGGACTTTGTTTGGGTGGGACGCTGGTCCGTGGAGGTGCTCATTAGTGGCATTAGACTGCGTTCTATTGTGAGGGACCTGGAATGCAATCAGGAAGGAGCACTCTCACTTTTGAGGGTCCCAAAGTTTAGTTGGCATAGCAGGCCTTAGAGAACTCTGGGTATCAATGTTCACTATATATGTAGAAAAATCGCCAGTTCTTGGCTTCTTGTTTTGTTGACATCTTTGTTTTAGTGTGCCTAGTGGGACAACAGCCTCCTCTGAGGTCAGGTGGTTTGAATTCTTTGCTACCCTAACTATCTGGACTGGCAGATTCCTAGGTTTTGAGATTTTTTTTTCCACTTGCACAGAGAACCCCCATGTTCCATGACCACCCCTCATTGGTGGAAGTGATTTATCTGTAAGTACAGAGTCAGCTGCGGTCAAGGGTCAGGATGGGATGTGAATGTAAATAAATTCTTTGTCTCCTTTAGATTCACAGCAAAGCCACTCCCACCAGACAAGTTTCCCAGCCAGCTCATTGCTATTAAAGTTGTCTTTGTTCTGACCTGTACTTGCTGTAGGAGAGGTCCCAGGGAAGGCTCCTTGGGCAGCTGGGGTGAGAGTTGAAGCAGAGTTAGAGTATTGGGTAGTTACCAAACCAAGGCAGTGCGCACCCCGAAAGCTGACTCTCAGAGGTGTGGGGAGTGCTTTGAGTTAGTTTAGTATCCCCCTTACACCAGGGAAAGTCAGTCCCGGGCAGTTCTTGCGGTGTGTCTCATTATCTGGCACACTGGCTGGGAAAGAGGAATTTCACAGCCCTGAAGTTTACCTTCTCAGTGTCAAAATAACAAGCACCTCCAAAACCATTTTGAAGGGATATCTTCAAAATGTCCTGCTTCTCTGTCCCGGAAAGTGGCACTGCTGCTGACTGGGGGTTTGGGGTTTCCCTGTTTGTCCTGCTGTAAGTTGTCCCATCCCTGGTAAAGGGCCTCAGTGACTTGTGATTTGCTGCTTGTGTATAGGAAACTGACAGTCTGTACATGATACTGTTGGACAGACTCTTTGTTGCTATGATAAAATGTCCAAAGAGTAGTAAGTTCGAGGCCAGCCTGGTCTAGAGTTGAGTTCCAGGACAGCCAGGACTGTCACACAGAGAAACCCTGTCTTGGGAAAAAAAAAAAAAAAGATCCGGACTGTTAGTCAGCCTAAGGGAGGGGGTTTATTTTGGCCTGGAGTTTCAGAAGTTTTATTCCACCCTGGTGGGAAGGGGTGGCAGACCAGAGAAGCTCACATCATGGCAGCCAGAAAGCATACACATCTATACTATACACACCCCCACACTCAGAGAGAAAGAGAGAGAGAGAGAGAGACCTGGCTCTGCTTTGTCCTTTTTCTTCCCGATTTCCACCATTTGTATTACGTCTGGACACCAGCCCGTGGTGCTTCAGAATGGGTCTTTCTTCCTTAGTTAATGCACTCTGGAATTCACAGGCAAACCCAGAGGTCTGCCTTATTGGTCTCTTAGAGGCCTCTCAAGGCAGTCAAGCCGACAGTGAGAATTACCCACCACAGTGACTATTGGTTAAATGTTGAACATGAGCTGGTCTTGGTACCTCTCCCGAAGAGCGAGTGGAGGGAATTGCCTGTGGTATCCTCTCAAGAAGACAAGGCTTTTCGTTTGTCCTTCAAGGAGAAGAGAATAATCAGAAATACAACTTCTACGCAGGTGGAGAACCCTTCAATGTTGGCGTTACTGATGTATAAATCGGAGCGCCGGCTTGGCACTGGGCTTGCTGGCTGGAGCTGGGGGTAGGCATTGGACTGAGTCCTGTCGTACACATTATTGGGATTTAGCTCCACTTTCATGAGGGGATGAAGCTTTTACTTCATTATATTCATCACATAATAAGCAATAAGTGCTATCTGTCTGCACGTTCAGGCTGAGAGAGTTAACAGGCAAACGCTTCAGTTCAAATGTTAGTGTGCTGAACTACAGGCCTCACTCAGTTTATCCAAAATGTGCACCCTAAAAGTCCTAACAGTCACCGATTCTTTGGAATAATTAAATTATTTTGCTGTGTGTGAGACACATCCCTAGCCCAGCAGTGTGTAGGAGAGAACAGTTCTGACAACAGGAGCATCATCTTGACTTCTGGTTGTTTTCGCTTTGGTCTCACTAGCGTGGGCTAGCCTGGCACTTGGAGTCCCCCTGCTTCCGACTCCTGAGTACGGGGATTACAGGCCCGCATCACCCACTCTGCTCTAACATTTTGGTAAATGATAGTCCAGTGATTCAGAATTGGAGATAATCAGGTGAAGCTATCCTGTTACTCTCCTGGAAGAAGCGGACAATAGCAAGAAAATCACAGAAATCGTTTTGTTTAATTGGTCAAGTCATTCTCAGACTTCTTGGAAGTAATACCTTGTCTATTAGTAAATAAATGAATTTTATGATGACATCCTCAGTGTCCTCCATCTCTACTTCCCACAGCACAGGTGGAATAACCATGAATAATATCTGAGTTGTAAAATTGCATTTCTTAAGTCGGGTAGTGGTGGCGCATGCCTTTAATCCCAGCACTCGGGAGGCAGAGGCAGGTGGATCTTTGAGTTTGAGGTCAGCATGGTCTGCACAGTGAGTTCCAGGACAGCCAGGGATACACAGAGAAACCCTGTCTTGAAAAACAAAAACAAAATTGCATTTCTTAAATATTTTGTGTAAGCCTTCCACTTTGACAGCGTTTTAGTGGCCTCATCAGATAGCTGCTGGTTCCTGACCTAAGCAGGGGGTATCTCAAATGTGGGGCCTTCTCGACCTCATGAGGGAGGTAAATATTAACCAGCGGCATGTCCTAAAACTTTGGTCCTAGTCCAGGGTCTATAGACGTTATGGGGCAATCACAGTTTGTTCTTACCCCTGTGTTCAGAACTCTTACTGAAGGAGTCTAATGCAATGTAGACTCAGTACATTTGGTATTCTTATAGTGTGGAAACAATCACAAGGCAGACTTCAGTCCATTTATACTAAGCAAAGGTAGTCTGTTCCCTAACTAAGTACAAGTCATTAATTGATAGAGTTAAAATTCAAGTGCTTTTTTTTTTCAGGGTCCAATGTTTTGCCCTCAGGAGATTAATTAGCAGGCTTCTTGTTTTCCTTATCTGGCACTTGGCTTCTCTCTCATGTCCATAGTGGCTGTTGTTTAGTAACCACTTGTGTGCCAGGTTTGCGCCAAGCCTGCCAGGTTTGTGCCAAGTTAACCGTATGAGATGGTGTAGATGAAGAACAGAGGCTCATAGGGGTATCTACTGTCTGGACGGCACAGTAAAACCGAGTTCCAGCCTCCCCCAAACACTGGAATGGAGAAACCAAACATCTCTCCTGTACACATGAGTCTCTTTAGGATTGGCCTCTGGTGCTGACCAGTATAGGCACCTGCCAGAAGTTGTACTGAACTTGGCCAGACGATTCGGGGGGGCGGGGGGAGGCAGTCAGTCATTAGGAACGAAAATACTGCTAAACCATGGACAGCAAGCTACCTTCCTTCTTGTCCATGGCTATAGACTCCTTCTAAAGACTCAACATCCTCCCTCTAGGGGGCACAGCATGTGTCCTGACTGGGCAGCCCTTCGACACGATGAAGGTGAAGATGCAGACTTTCCCAGACCTCTACCGGGGCCTCACCGACTGCTGCCTGAAGACCTACTCCCAGGTGGGCTTCCGTGGCTTCTACAAGGGCACCAGCCCCGCACTGATTGCTAATATTGCAGAGAACTCGGTGCTCTTCATGTGTTACGGCTTCTGCCAGCAGGTGGTCCGCAAAGTGGTTGGATTGGACAATCAGGCAAAACTGAGGTGAGTCACCGACGCTCGGTTGTTTCTTAAATAAGTGAACACTTGATTTCAATGACATGTGTAGAAAAGAAGTTTCCTTTCTAAAAATGACTCTGATGTTCTACACTGTCATGGCTTAAACAAATGCATCGTGTCAAGAGTCTTACTGTGTGTTTGGTCCCTATGGGAAGATGCTTTCCGTGTGAACAGAAGTGCTGGGCTACATCTGTAGAACATGGGACCTAAGTTTTAGGTTCCCTTTCATCAGTGGCGAGTATTGAAAGGGAACCTGAGCAATACTAGACAAGAAATGTGGAATTTAGGAAGCTACAGATGGACCCAGGTTTCTTTGGCTGAACCCTCCCTATACATCAGACTTCATTTGTGCTGATCTTCCCTAGGCTGCTATATTCAGAGACCAGACAATTCATAAACCACTGGGATGCTTAGTCATCCCTCCTTCATATGTTGATTTATTTGAAATGATTTAAAATTATATTGGGGGAAGAGCTGGGGAGAAAGCTTAATTACTAAAATGCTTACAAGGCGCTAAATTAGATCCTTACCACCCACATAAAAAGCTGGACATGGTGTGTACTTAGAATCCCAGTATTGGGAAGGCAGAAGTAGAAGGAGATCTAGGGCCCCAGGTCCCAAAGAGAGATCCTTTCTCAAAAGACAGGTATAGCTCCTGAGAAACACATACACACCTCCATACATACAGATGCACACAGTAAAATCATTATATGTCATTTTTATACACACACACACACACACACACACACACACACACACACACACACACACTGTTTATATTTGCAAAGGGCAGAGGCTTGTAGGCTGTGTCAGTAGGAATTGGAGCCTCTATTGCAGCCACAGGTTGACACAACTGTAGACTCCTTGGACACGGAGGTGTGTTCTGGAAACATCTACAAGATTCAGATGTGCTATTTCATAGGCAAGAACTTCATCTTGATGGCAGAACTTGTGTTGAAAAACTGGGGACATCCAAGACAGTCCAAGGAGATGGTGTAGGACAGAGGAGGGCTGAGCGTGATCCTCCAGCCCTCCAGCTAAGGGAGGGCAGGTAGCAGAGCCCAGGAGATGGAAGCAGAGGGCCATGAGATTAGCATCCCACAGGGAGAGCAGACAGAAGCAAAGCACTAGACTACTGGCTTTCTCTAGCTGAAGGAGAGACATTCCATTTCAGGACATTTGGGTTTATCTCCCTCAGCTTCGTTAGTGATGGACAACACTGGGGAGGAGCCAGAGCGACAGTGGGTCCCCAGGGAAGATTCTGGTCGAAGACCCTTTGCTCCCCTCCGGGCAAAGTAACCAAAGAGATGGTGATGGGAACACACTCCTGCGGTTCCGGCCCTGCGTGTCCCTCCTCCCCTCCCCTGCTTCTTCGCCTATGAGCAGAGACTGGTTTGAGCACAGTGCCTTTTCTCCTTTGTGTTTTATTTGAGACATGGTCCCAGTGTGTAGCCTGGACTGGCCTGAAAGTCACCATCACCCTGCCTCCACCTCCACTGTAGGGATGCCACGTGCGCATTACTACGTTCACGTAGTCTTTTCTGAGGATGGACAGTCGGATGCTTTACAGCTCTGTGTCTCCACACCCTCTCCAGAAGCAAGAGTTGGGGTTGCCGAGAAAGGGTTGGAAAATGCCTCACTGTGTTCCTTGGGTGGAGTTTTGAGTGTGTTTATTTCATGTGATACCCACAGTATGGAGCTTCTCACCACACAAGCTCTTCAGTATGGACATCAGCCTGCTTAACTTGCTGTAACACAGCACTAGAATCTTTGCTGAGCTTAGAGTCTTCCCCTTTTCAGTCTTAGGAGACACTTTGCTTTTTACTTGCTGGGCAAACAGTGCCTACAGTCTGCTATACTCTGACATGTCCCACTGTCCCCCTTCCGCCCAGTCTTCTGTCTGTTAGACCAGCAAGGATATTGGTCAGATCTAGAGCGGGCGTTTATCAAGAGTGGCAAAGGGAAACAGTTAAAGCAAGCATTACTGTGGATTTCTGCAACCGCATCACAAATATTTGTGTGTCCTGGTTTGAACCTCATGTGGCGTTCTCCTTTGACCTTTGGTTGAATGAGATCTTACACAGCAGAGGCATTTGGATCAAACAGTAGAGTCTTTCTTTCTTTTTTGAAAAGTTTCATACAATATATTTTGATCATATTCCCCACCCCACCCCCATTTTCTAGATCCTCCGTACCTCCCTACCAACTTTATGTTCTTTTTATCTTTTTAAGACAAAGTAATAAAACAAGAAGCACACACACATACAAAACACATAAATCAACATGAACAAAGAGACCAGCAAGGCAAAAATACCCAAACAGAGCAAAATGAGATGAAGAGTCTGCAGTGGATTCTTAGAAAACCCCATCCTACACTCTGTGCACTTTCAATTCCAGCCATACACGTTCATCCTACATGGAGAGCTGAAGGTCTGTGTGCCTGTTGTGTGCCCTGGAAAGTACTTAGGAGGAAGTCAAAGTCCGTGGAAGTGCTGACTTGGCTTCTCCCTTGTACTCTTAGGATGTTTTATGTTCGTTCAGATTCTGGAACCCTCCCAACACCTGACGTTGAGTTGGCATCCATGTTTATTGACTGATGCCTTTGTTCTAGCAAACTTGACACATTCTAGGTAATGACCCCCATGGACAGTTGCCTGGCAGCGGGTTGATGGAGTCCCTGAGGCAGGCCTAGTATCGTCTGTAGGCTGGCCAGAAGACCGTTTGAAGCTTTGGCTTTTAACAGATGAGCTAAGGAGTGGTGGGAAGATGTGCACTAGATAGAGCAAGACACTTGCTCCACACTCCAGGATGTTGGTATGCCTGCTTGGCTCGTTTTAGTTCACGGTGGTAGGCTTAATTCTCTAAGGTCAAAAGGAAGTCCACCCAGCAAACGGTCCTGCTTCAGATAACCTCATGGTAAGCCTGCTCTGCTGAGTCCCGGATGTTCGAGAGACCAGCTCAGCCTGCAGACAGCGGCTGCTGTCTGGTGCAGAGGCGAGGCTACAGAAAACCAAGGCCAAAGCTGGAAGCAAGAGAAGCAGCTTCTTTAGCTTACGGGGTACAAGAGCCTGGGGCCGGGGCTGGGGCTGGCATCTGCCTGGTTCTTCTACAGTGTCTTCTGGCTGTATGGTGGCATTGCAGATGGAATCATGATGGGAACGTGTGAGGAGAGGTCACCAGCTACTACAGGAAGCTCCGCTCTTGTGGGAGTTAGTGCAGTCCTGTGAGAGCTGTATTGGTGTCTGCCCCCCTCTCCCCGAAAGGATGGCAGCATCCTAGGACCCACTTTTTTTTTTTTTTTTTTTTTTTTTTGGTTTTTCGAGACAGGGTTTCTCTGTGTAGCTTTGCGCCTTTCCTGGAACTCACTTGGTAGTCCAGGCTGGCCTCGAACTCACAGAGATCCTCCTGGCTCTGCCTCCCGAGTGCTGGGATTAAAGGCGTGCGCCACCACCGCCCGGCTTTTTTTTTTATAATTGAAACTTTTTTTTTTGGTTTTTTGAGACAGGGTTTCTCTGTGTAACAGTCCTAGCTGTCCTGGAATTCACTCTGTAGACCAGGCTGGCCTCGAACTCACAGAGATCTGCCCACCTCTGCCTCCCCAAGTGCTGGGATTAAAGGCATGTGCCACCACTGCCCCGCTGAAACATTTTTTTTTTTTTACAATATATTTCGATCATGTTTTTCCCCTCTCTCAATTCTTCCCAGATCCTCCCTACCTCTTTACCCAGACTTCATTTTCTCTTCCTCCCCCCTCTAAAGCAAACAAAAACAAAACAACAACAAATAAAACAAGAAACACATACAAAAGAGTCCCACAAAAATGGAGGTCAAAATAAACAAACAAAGACCAGTGAGACCAAAAAAAATGCGCAAAGCAAACTGAAACAAAACGTCTACAAAAAATGCCACTACGTTCATTTTGTGTTGTCCAGTTACTTCAGGGAAGTGTGAATATACCCAGTGAGACTCCTCCGGAGAAAACTCATTTTTCCTTTCCTGCCAAGTATCAGTTTTAGTAGCCGGTTAGGGGTGGGTGCCTGTGTCCACTTCTCCCTTCCCAGTGCCGGGACCCCGTCTGGCTGTGTCATTCTTATGGCATGCTGCCATAGTCTCTGAGTTCATATGGACGTCAGTCCTGTTGTGTCTGGAAGATGCTGTTTCCTTGGAGTCATCCATCCCCTCTGGCTCTCACAGCCCTCCCATCTCCTCTCCCACATAGATCCTGAGCTCCGAAGGGGAGGGGTGTGATGGAGACATCCCATTTCAGACTGCGTGCTCCAAAGTCTCTCACTCTCTGCACATTGTCGAGTTGTGGGTCTCTGTGTTAGTTTCCCATCTGCCGCAAGAAGCTTCTCTGATGAGGGCTGAGTGAGGCACTGGTCCGTGAATATTCCTAATGAATATGCCATTAGGGATCATTTTATTACTGAGTTCCTTTAGCAGAATTACAGTTTTAGGTTTTCCTTTAAGCTAATGGCCATATCAGGTATGGGTTCCAACTCATGGAGTAGAGGCCTTAAGTCCCATCAGAAAGTGGTCTGTTATCTCCTTAATATTTGTGTATGTCTTGCAGGTGGGTCACTGTTGTAGGTCACAGGGTTTGTAGCAGGGAGCTGTTCATGACTCTAGTAGCATGCGGGGTACCTTCCAGGACCACGAATGCTCGTCAGTAGAGGTGAAGCGTCCAGTCAGACACCAGCTTGACTGCTCTGTGTTTGATGACGTATGTAAGGGTTGTCTTCAGCCATGGTTTTACCCTCAGGTTGTGGAGAGTGACCAGTAACGTTGGCAATGACCTGTGATGTTTGGGGGTTTCCATGGGCGGGCCCCACCTCTTAAATGTCCCATCATCTCCACAACGAAGGGTCAAGCTTCCACCACACAAGCTGTTGGGCCACATATGCAAACCATATCAGATCTTAACAGAGGTCATAGCTGAATTGGGAAATGGTTTTGTGATCACAAAAACCTAGATTGTTTTTTATCTGCAGTAGTTAGATTCCATATCTGGTTACTCCAGGTTGGATTTGGGGCCAGAAGGAATATTGTCACAAATATACTAAGGTATTAATAGACTGTATTTGGGGAAGTAAGATTGTAAGTGACCTCTCTCCTATGGTCCCTCCATTTTTCTTTATGTGCCTTAGCTTGGGCTACTAAACAAAATGCCGTCCATTAGGATTCGTCAACAAACATTTCTTCTTCTGGAGGCTGCCAAATCAGGAATGAAGGTGCCACCAGGCTCAAGCTCTGGTTCAGACATGGTTTCTCCCTGTCCTCACCTGGCAGAGAGAGCAAGATTATAGGCCATCGATCTCGTGATGACATCTCATGTAGCTAGAGTTTTCCTGCCTGGCCCACAGTCAGGACAAATCTCTCCCACCTGCCAGTCCCACAGCCGCTCAGACCCGACCAAGTAAACACAGAGACTTATATTGCTTACAAACTGTATGGCCGTACCAGACTTCTTGCTAACTGTTCTTATAGCTTAAATTAATCCATTTCTATAAATCTGTACCTTGTCACGTGGCTCGTGGCTTACCGGCATCTTCCCATGCTGTTTGTCATCGTGGCGGCTGGCAGTGTTTCTGACTCAGCCTTCCACTTCCCAGCTTTATTCTCCTCCTTGTCCCGCCCACACTTCCTCCTGCCTGGCTACTGGCCAATCAGTGTTTTATTTACCAACCAATCAGAGCAACACATTTGTCATACAGAACATCCCACAGCAGTCTCATCCTCAGGAACCAATCTATTCCTGATTGCCTCTTAAGAGCCCTGGCTTTCAACGCTGTTACACATCGGTGGTTAGGTTCTCAGCACACGAATGGAGGGGAGGGGGACATAAGCATGGGTGTAGCTAGCCATCAGGCAGACCTGGGTTTGATTCCTAGCATGCCACTCTAGATGTGTGGCTTTGGGGACATGTGTGACCTCTCAGTGCCATTCCTCGTGGAGCTGGAGTACTGCAGTTTGCTACAGGGTCTCAGGACTCTTAGATGGGAAGCACGTGTGGAGGTCCCTCTCTCATCCCCGTGTTCTCTCTGCGTGGTGAGTGCCGAAGGGACATACGAGCTGACGGTCCATCCTCTGTCCTTTCAGTGACCTCCAGAACGCAACTGCTGGCTCCTTCGCCTCCGCCTTCGCCGCGCTGGTCCTCTGCCCCACAGAGCTTGTGAAGTGTCGGCTCCAGACCATGTATGAAATGGAATCTTCGGGAAAGATAGCTGCAAGCCAAAAGTAAGCACTGTTTATTCACAGATGTTAGGTTTTTCATCTTGGTGCACTGTGTTTTCGTTTTATATTGTTAACATTAAGTGCCAAGTGTAGAAACAGCTTTCCCTATTCTAAAATACTGTGTCAGGGGATTTTCTGAGAAGACTTTTTATTATGTTTGGACTCACTACCTACCCTAGCTTAGGCAGTTATTTAATAGTGTAGAAATGGAGACACCAAGGAGCCAACTGTCCCCTTTGTACTCTGGGGTGCATAAGGCATGATCTTCAGCTATATTTGGGAGACAGCTTTGAACTGGGTCTGAGGGCTGAGCTGAGTGTGGATTTAGATTCTGAGGTGAGTGTTTCATACCCTTTCACATGGGTCTTCAGGCTTATCACCACAATTTAGTGGCAACTCCTACCCTTTCCAAACCGTCACCTGTCCTTGGTAAGAGTCCAAGTTCTGAAAACATGCATCAGAAACCTTTGTAAGTAGAGCTGCTCTCTGGTCCTGTCAGTGATCAGCTTAGACATGAAAGCAGCTGGCTGTCCACTGCGGTGAGGATATAAATGCCACATGTGTCTAGAATTAAAAAACTGTCTATTATCCTTGTTAATCACAAATTGTGCCTATTTATCTTGACATGTGGCTGGTTGAAGATCTGGTCAAGGGTGTTGCCATCACCCAAGGTCTGTAAATCTTCTGGGGAACCAGTCAACAAACTGACCAGTAGTCAGTTTCCTCCCCTGCTATTCATGGCCTAGGAGTCTACCAGTATAACGCTTTAAAACAGTGGTTCTCAACCTGAAGGTCATGACCCCTAGAGGTTGAATGTCCCTTTCCCAAGGGTCGCATATCAGATATTCTACGTATCAGATATTTACATTCCAATTCATAGTAGTAGCAAAATTACAGTTATGAGGTAGCAATGAAATAACTTTACGGTTGGGGGTCACCACAACATGAACTGTATTAAAGGGTCGCAGCATCAGGAAGGTTGAAAACCACTGCTTTAAAGGGTTATTTCTGAACCAGAACCTACCAACAGTACTGTGAATACATACAGATCATAAGTGGGCAGTTCTATAAACAGTCACGAAATGAATGGGCCTTTGTAACCAGTGCCTAGAGTAAGAAACAGACCGTTGACACCACCACACACAGGCTTGGATGCAGGCTCAGGTGTTGAGTTGGGGTCACTTAGTATGTTCACATGTGTGGTGGGAACAGTGCTGTGGGAACAGAGCTCTCAGAAGGAAGATGGTGGCTTATGGCCTTTGTCATTCGGGGAGTCAATGTGACATCTCTCTGTCTCCCTAAGAACAAAGTGAGCAATTCAGTAGTTAAACACTGAGCATGTGGCATTCTGCTTGGTCTCAGCGTGTATACAACCTACCACAGGGCACACTGTGGTGGAGATGGCGGCCAGGGTGTCCGGCCCTGAAACTGCTCCCCTGGAGCAGGTCTCATTTGCAAAAGGGACTTCTCTGCATCCCTTCTGCTTGAGAGACTCAGTTCTCGCTGTTCCTCCAGTCCCAAGGGCTAGAGCTTGACCCTCCGAGCTCCTTGTCTTGCCTTCAAGTGACGCTCATTCCTCTGGACCACCTGAACACATTATCCTAAACTCACAGTGACGGCCACTGTTGGCCGTCAACGTGATAGAATCTAGATTCACCTAGGAGTCAGTATCTGGTCAGTATCTCTTTATTCAGTCGACTGAGGTAGGAAGACTCATGTATAAAAGAGGTGGCGCCATTACCCGAGCCTGGGCCCTAGACTGCACAACAGGAAGTGTCAGCTGAGCACCAGTGGTCCTTGCTGTCTGCTCCCTGACTGCAGATGCAATGTGATCAGCTGTCCCGGGCTCCTGCTGCACTGCCGTGCCCCCACCGTGGACTGTACCCCTGAACTGTGAGCCCAAACCAAGCCCTTTCTCCCTCCAGTTTGCACCTTGCCCGGTGTTTTATTACAACAAGTAACTAATACACCCACGAGCTGGAAGAGATGGGGCTCCAGGGGGCAAGGCACTGAGCAAGTGTAGTATTGTTTATCTATGGCCAGCCCCGGATGGCTCCTTATTGTAAGTCATTTTTACGTGGTCATTGTTGAAAAGACGGGCACTAACCCTTTCACATCTCAGACAATGTAGCTTATAGTAGTTAGCAGGCCTGCTCAGGCGCAGGTAAGGAAGCAGCTGGTTGGGTGAACAGAGGTCCCACTAAGTCTAAGAGTAACAGGTGTGCTTTGAAGGGAAGGGCAGGGCACAGGAAAACCCAGTTATAGGAAAGCTGGTCACGTAAGCCTCCCTTGGTACAAAAATCTCATTGCGTGCACACACCCGCACTGACTGTGCCTCCTCCTTTGTCTCCCCCAGCACAGTGTGGTCAGTCGTGAAAGAAATCTTTAGGACCGACGGCCCCTTGGGCTTCTACCACGGACTCTCAAGCACTTTACTTCGAGAAGTACCAGGCTACTTCCTATTCTTCGGTGGCTATGAACTGAGCAGATCCTTTTTCGCATCAGGGAAATCAAAAGATGAACTAGGTAAATGTATTCCCATTGACAACATTTGGGGTTAGTAGAGTCAGCCTCCTGGGTTTCCTGGTTTCCACAGGGTCTGTGTATGGTGTGCACCTTCCTGGGAGTCCACCCAGCACTGGGGAGTTTCTGGGTGCCAGGAGATAAAATGGCAGTGGGTGTTGGCTAGCACCGTCTCCCGAGGGAAATTTCCTAAAGACAAGCTCTCAAGCCTTATATCTCAAACTTCTTTGCCACATTAGCATTGTTAGAGCTGTCTCTTCTTCTGGGTAGTACTAACTGTTCTGCGTCCATTAGAGGAAGAAATAGAGATTATTTTCCTGATGGAGAAATCAACTCTCAACAATCTCACAATAAGCTTTAAAAGCTTTTTTTAATTCATTAATTGCCTGTCATTGCAATTACAAAGTAAGATTGTCTGCCAAGCCCTGTCTCTGACATCAAATCACAAATAAGTTTGTTCCCCAAACATTGTTTATTCATTATCCATTAAATAAGTACTTCCTGATAGATCTGCTATTTAGGCATTTAATTAACAGGGTTTCTCAAGCTGTTTGTGGGGTGTCCTGTGCATGCAAGATGTTCAATCGCATCCCTGGCCATTTTCCCCACTACAGATAGCAACCTCCCTCCAAGAAGGAAAAAAACAAACAGAATAACGTAGCTTCAGAACTTGTCAGTATTCCCTGGGGAGACCAAGGCAGCCTTGCTTGAGAACCACTGTATTAGATGTTAAGGCTGTTTCAAGACAAAAACTGAACTAACGACAGCCATTCGGCATGTGCCATTGATGAGATCAGTCTCGTTTGATGTGCTAGTTGGGCAGCCTAAAATACATTTCTGCTTTTAAGTTGCATACCTAAGTATCAAATCTCCACCCAGAGTTCTATCTCTGCCTTGAAAACCCTAGCTCTGAGTGTAAGGCGGGCAGGTAATAAGGAAATTGGTCAGTGCTTATCAGTGTCATAAATGGAAACAATCCCTGTTGCACCTGTCTAATGTAGTACATTTTTCAAATGTGATAACAAAGCATGGTGTTTTGGGAGCAGTACATAGATTTTTTTTTTCTTTCCTGTCACAGTGGAGGAAGATTAGGGCTGTTGGGGGTTAAAGTTGAGAAAGACGTGGACTGTATTTCAGTGGCTGTTTTCTCATTCCCTGTGATGTGAGACCTGTTGGCTATGGGTGGGTCAACCCCAACTGGAGGATGAGGTTGGGGTGGGGACTCAGTACCTGGTCTTGATGATGCCTGGGGATACTCCAACTTCTTAGCTAGAGCCTTGAATGTTTTTCAAGGAGTTGACTGTTCCATGCGCTTCTGGAAACGCCACCTAAAACAAAGTGCCGCTTTCTGCTTTCCTTCCCTAGGTCCCGTCCCACTGATGCTAAGTGGTGGATTTGGTGGAATTTGCCTGTGGCTGGCTGTGTATCCGGTGGATTGTATCAAATCTAGAATCCAAGTTCTTTCTATGAGTGGCAAACAGACAGGACTAGTCAGAACTTTTCTGAGTATCGTGAAGAATGAAGGTAAGGCTGCTGTGGGCAGAGACTGGGGTATGTTCACAGTGATTATCTCTGTGAAATGGATCCATCTATGGTTAATTTGGGCAGAGACTGGGGTGTGTCCACAGTGATTATCTCTGTGAAATGGATCCATCTAGGGTTAATTTGGGCAGAGACTGGGGTATGTTCACAGTGATTATCTCTGTGAAATGGATCCATCTATGGTTAATTTGGGCAGAGACTGGGGTGTGTCCACAGTGATTATCTCTGTGAAATGGATCCATCTAGGGTTAATTTGGGCAGAGACTGGGGTATGTTCACAGTGATTATCTCTGTGAAATGGATCCATCTATGGTTAATTTGGGCAGAGACTGGGGTGTGTCCACAGTGATTATCTCTGTGAAATGGATCCATCTAGGGTTAATTAGCCCCACGACTGCTCTTTTCTCCCTGCCTCATAACCTTCTCCTAACACTGGCTTTCTATTCCCAAATCATTTGCTTTATCTTATTTTCATTGTTCTCAAAAATGTTTAAAGTTCTTTTTCCTAACTTCCGGGCCAGGTGCCTGGCAGGATTCTTTTTATTCTAAAGACCTTGGGGGTGTTTTTAAGATACAGACTTTGTCTAGAGGGAAGAATGTTTTGAGGCGAGTAGCATCACCTCATTTACATAATCCAAATATGAAAAGACCCCCTACCAGGACCACTAAGGCATTAAAAGAATATATTGGATATATTATATTCTTATTGTGTTACAGTTAAAAGAATGTAATACAACATCAGTAAGACCTCTGGAATGAGAAATGATCTGAGCAGTCTGTAGGGATGATTTGCTGTCAGGTTTTAGAGTTATGTAGGATACAGACTTTTTAAGTCACGTTTGTATGACATCAACCCAAAGACTGGTCTTTCTGGCATCCACCTTATAGGCATCTTAAAACTAGGGTTATGGGAAGTCTTGAACGGAAGAAAGGGAAGAGGTAAATGATTTATAATTATAATCTAAAAAATAAAATAATTCAGGTGGAGAGATGGCTCAGCGGTTAAGAGAGCATTGGCTGCCCTTCCAGAAGTCCTGAGTTCAGTTCCCAGCATCACATGATGGCTCACACCCGTATATAATGGGACCTGATGCCCTCTTCTGGCATGAATGTGTATGTGTGGCTAGACCACCATATACATGAGATAAATAAATCTTTAAAAATAAATAAAATAATTTAAAAAGTGAAATAGATGAGGTCAAAAACATCATTATCTACAAAACAAAACAGAAAGTACCTTGGATTATGAACTTGTGCTTTGGCTCTGAAGAGAGAGTACAGTGACCCAGGGACATGTTTAATTTGTAACTCAAATAGAGTGCAGGTATCTTGTGTATCACCACTCCTGCATGCCTTCTCCAGGATGGCCGGGCACACCCTCGTTCAGTCCCTCATCTGGGTCTCTCCCATGACCATGCTGAATACATCTCTGGGGTCTCTTGCTGGCCCCTCTGGCTCTTTGATTGCCTCCATCTGGCCGTGTTAGCTCTTAGCTCTGCTCTGTCCATACTGCCCGAGTCCTCCAGGCATAGCATTTGCATTGTTATTTGAGCATCAATCAGCTTTGCCAGGGGGCTTGCCACTTAACCCTGTTCCTGTAGTCTGTTGAGGGGAACCTGAGAGCAAGCCCCTTCGTTCATCACAAGGGCTTTAGTACTGTGTCTGAGTGTGTGGGCACAGGTGATCTCTACTGTGCAGCTGCGCTTGTGCCCTCAAGTAAGCGCTGTCACAGTCTTGGATTGCCCTTCTGTCTTGCAGGAATAACGGCCTTGTATTCTGGACTGAAACCTACTATGATTCGAGCCTTCCCTGCCAATGCGGCACTGTTTTTGGCCTATGAATACAGCAGGAAGTTGATGATGAGCCAATTTGAAGCCTACTGAAGTGTCCTGGATTCAAGGCAGCCTTTAGTTTAGTGACTGTCGTTAACTCAGGGTTTCACGGAGTACAAGAACAATGTGGGATTATTTGATTAGTTGGGACGTTTGTCCTTGTCTTCCCTGCTTCTACTCAGAGTCTTAGACTTGGTGGAAGGCCCTCTGTTCTACACAGTATCATTTCTGCCCATTGTTGCACCAAAAGAGAAAAGTCGCTGCCTTGCCCTTGGTGGAATGTACGGGCAGCTAGCTGGTGGCCTTACGTGGACTGCCTTCCTCTCAGGACAGAACTTCTGCGGAAGCCAGGGTTACACATGCAATTTTGATGGCCCTAAGTTGAGGAAAACACAATTTTGTTCTATGTCTAGTTGTAAATGGTGACCAATGTCTTTGCACATGGTTGTAAATGACTGCTTAACCCATCCTAGACGTAGGGCCAAAGGCTGCAGAGCCTGTGCACTAAGAGGTTTTTAACTTTTTGTGGTACATTAAAGCTAAAACATCTACCTATATTTTTAGATAAACTTATACGCGTACCTGTGTGGCTTCTACATTCTTGAAGAAATTTCAGGATGGATATCCTGGATTTTTTTTTTCCATGCTGCTCAACAGTGCCATTCGTTTTCTAGGTGGGCTTATTATTTTGCACTCTGGGTTTGGTAGGAGTGGCCTGGAGTGTTAGTGCTCTGAAGGGCAGCGGAGTACCCACCAGCTTCCCTTCTAACTCAAAGAGCTTCCTCCCCTTGTGCTAGACTCATGATCGACAAGGGGCTGCCCTGCCATGCTCTCATGAAAACTGACAGCGGCTCTTACCTGGTCTCAGCAGGAACCCAGGGTGCTCTTCTGGTCCTGGATATGGAACCACTCTGAACCCAGTGTCTCTCTGCCTCCACCAATCAGAGACCCTTAAGGAAGCAGAGACGAAGTCTGGGCTCCCTGCTTTCATCATGGGGTCCTAGTCCCAGGGAAGTCTGAAGGAGCTCACTAATTAGGCACCACAGCATAAGTATATCAGGGCTCACCCTCCTGAAGTTCACCCTGGGGCCCATAACTCCTTGATTTGCCTCTACATTTGGAGCTGGCAGTCTGTGAATTTTAATGACTGTAGATGGTGTGTAAATTTGGAAAGCATCGTGACACAGTAAGAACATTTTTATTAAACTAGGGAATATGTAGCAGCCAACATCTCATAGTCTGCAGTACGTCCAAGACCAGTGGGGCTGACGGTAGGCTTTGTTCCTACTCTGCCTACAAAGCTGAAGGAAGTCGGCTGACCTTATTCATGCCCTCTTGCCACAGTGCCAGCAGCACAAGGTCGGGAAAGCATAGTGCTCCCCAAAAGGGAGGGGTGCCACTCAGCATCCCTGGGCTGGCACTTTAGGAGAGAACCGTCTGTCGGTCTGCTTTAGTTCCCTCTCTTGTATGGCCAGTGGCTACTGAGTGGTGCTTCATCTCAACAGCTCTGGATACAAGCACCGGAGGATTGATACGGCAAGAGGACTGGCCCAAGCCGTCATCTCCCTTTCTGGTGCCTGAGGTCTAGTTCATATTGTCCCTGTTGGCCGTGTGGCTTCTCACAGTCTGCCCATTGAAGATTTGTGGCCTTCTAGAGAAATAGTAAGAAACAAGGGAAGTGAAAAATGGAGACCTAAGGAGAATTTTTTATTTTTCTGTTGGTTTAATGTGTGGGTACAATTGAACTTGAGACAAAACCAGAACTTGAGATATTTTGTTTAAAGAAATGAGTACTCTATCATTATTAAATAAACCTAATGTGAGTCTATGATGAGTTTCATTTAGATACATTATATTTATATCAAGGACCAATGGGAATATTAAAGATTTATGGATAATAAACTTCTAGGTGTTGTTTGCATTGGAACAAGTATTCTTTTGTCAGCAAGATTTCCTGATGTAAAATAATTTTACTGTAGGCAGGTTGACAAAAACAATGTTGCTTGTGTACTCTGCAGCCATGAAACACCCCATTAGATCGCTCCCTCCCTCTGTGTGTGTGGTGGTTTGAATGAGAAGGGCCCCCATAGGGCTCATATTTGAATGCTTGGTCACCAGGGAGTGGAACTGTTTGGAGGATTAGGAGGATTAGGAGGTGTGGCCTTTTTGGAGGAAGTGTGTCACTGGGATGGTCTTTGAGGTTTCAAAAGCCCATTCCTGGCCCAGTGTCTCTCTCTGCTGCCTGTGAATCAGGATGTAAAGCTCTCAGCTCAAGTCATGTCTGCCATGCTCCCTGCCATGATGATAACGGACTCACCCTCCGCAACTGTAAGCCAGCCCCTAATTAAATGCTTTCTTTATGAGTTGCTGTAGTCATGGTGTCTCACCACAGTAAAAGAACAGTGACTAAGACAGCTGCTATTTGTTAATTTATTTATTTACTGTATGTGTGTGGTATATGTGCGTATGCACTCACTGGTGCGTGAGTGTGTGGCAGCCAGAGGTTGATATTGACTGTTTTTCTCTATTTGCTCTCCACTTTATTTTTTTTTAAATAATTTTTAATTTTTTGATATTATAATCTAATTATATCATTTTCCACCTTTCCTCCCTCCAACCATGTACCCCACCTTGCTTCTCATTCAAATTCATGGCCTCTTTCTCTTTAATTGTTGACATACATACATACATACATACATACATATATATAGTATGTATGTATCTTTATATAGAGAGATAGCTATATCTTGCTACTTGTATGTTTCCAGGGCTGACCGTTTGGCGCTGGATAACCTATTGGTGTGCTCTTCCCTGGGAACAATTATATCTCCCGCTCTAAGCATTCCTTAGTTTCCTGTAGTTCTTTGTCTAGGAATGAGGCCTGGTGAGCTTGCTCACTTCCATGATAGCTTGTCTGTTAGTGTTGTTTTTGTTCAGGTCTTGATTAGGCAGCCATGTTGATGAGGCTTCTTGGGCGCAGCTTCTGTGACATTCTAGGAGACACAATCGCACAGCAAACTTCCTGTTGCTCTGGCTCTTACAATTTTTTTCCACCCCCTCTTCTGCAGTGATCCCTGAGCCTTAGAAGCAGGAGTTGTATTGTAGATGGATCTGTTAAGACTGGGCTCCACAACTCTGCACTCTGATCAGTTATGACTCTGTAAGAGTCTCTGTTGCAAAGAGAAGTTTCCTCCATGAGGGGTGAAGCCAACACTTATCTGTGTATAAAGATAAATGCTTAGAACGTAGTTAGAGATCATGCTGGTTGAAGTAGTGGTTGTAGGTTCTCCTCCGAGATGAATGCTTTCAGCATGGTATGATAACCCTAATGGTGTGGTAGTGGCACCATACTATAGTGGTAACCAACAACTCTCTAGTTGGACTTACAGCCCACTCAACAAGAGGGAGATCAGGCCTGCTGCTGGAAACCCGGCCAACTACCTGGGTTTTTTTGAAATGGGAGTGTTTCTGGGCCTGGAGCTGGCTGCCTGAGTAGACTGGCAAGCCAGCAAGCCTTTGAGATTTGTCTGTCTTTGGTCCCGCAGTGCTGGGGTTACAGATGTGTGCTATGACTTACACAGGCACTAAGATCTGAACGCAAATCCTCACGCTTGCTCAGTGGGTGCTTGACGAAATGAGCCATCCCTGCTCAGCCCCTCACTGTGAATAATGACTTTTTAAAAATAATTAAGTACTTGCTATTAAGTTTAGGATAATTTTTTTTAAAGAGACTTTGAATATTTTTTTAAGATTATTTATTTATTATGTATACAGTGTTCTGCCTGCATGTATGCCTACAGGCCAGAAGAGGGCACCAGATCTCATTACAGATGGTTGTGAGCCACCATGTGGTTGCTGGGAATTGAACTCAGGACCTTTGGAAGCACAGCCAGTGCTCTTAACCTCTGAGCCATCTCTCTAGCCCCAGGATAATTTTCTTATGGGTCTTTGAGACTGGATCTCTGTAGCTCAGGCTGGCCTGGCATTTGCTATGAATGCACAGATGGCCTTGAACTGAAGGCCACCTTCTTGCCTCAGCCCCCCAAATGCTGATTACAAGTATGTAACACCATGCCCCAAAAGTCTTCTGCCCCAAACACTTTGCATTTTTGGATAATTCTATGCCAAGATGATAAATTCTATCTAGGAAAACTAGTATTCAGCTATAGTGTGAGGTGAATGTCTCAGTTTGTTCTAAGAATTATGCACTTGGGGATCTAAGACAGCCAAACCCCAAGAGGCTTAAACAGGTTTCTGTGAACAAAATCAGAACAGCATGGCAACGTGCAACTGTCAGAAATTTTTTTTTTTTTTTTTTTTTTTTGGTTTTCCGAGACAGGGTTTCTCTGTGTAGCTTTGCGCCTCTCCTGGAACTCACTTGGTAGCCCAGGCTGGCCTTGAACTCACAGAGATCCGCCTGACTCTGCCTCCCGAGTACTGGGATTAAAGGCGTGCACCACCACCGCCCGGCGACTGTCAGAAATTTTGATGAGTCTTGAAAGGTAGGAGAGAAACCTCAACATTGACCTTTTTTCAAACAGACACTTCTTAAAAATTGAAGTTTTCTCCTTTCCTCATTGCCAGTGTGCCAAACTACCAGGCTAACTAGGCCTGGAATCTGCCTGTGGATGGATCCTTGCTGCTGCAAATGAAATGAAATAGCATGCAGCCTGTCCTGCCCCGGCACGCGTTTCCATAACTGGAGCTACGGGAGATCGTAGCAGTAATATATGGAGAGGAACCAGGTTAGGGGAAGACAGGGCTGGAGCCCTTTGGGGGATTTTTAAAGGATGGCAAGAAAGAGGTGGTTAAAAAGCCACCTCCCAGCTCTGTGCGGGTTGCTGCTCATTCCCAGAGAAACTCGGAGCTTCAGTCACATCTGAGGCAACCACAGCCTTTATGTGTTCTATTTTCACTTCGGAACAAAATGCACAGTTTCACCTTCTAGACTTTGGAGCTGCGAACCCAGTGAGTGGCCGCAGTGGTTGAAATACTGACTGTGCAAAGTTGCTCGATTGCTGTGTTCTGCCCCAAACCCCTCTTATTTTCGTGAACTGTTGTTTTTAGAGTGATCTCTACAGAACGCAGGGTTTTTCGGGAGTCACATAGCCATGCCCTGCATAGTGATTTTTCTGCCAATGAAGGCTGTGCATATGATGTGGTCCTGTAAGATGATATTGTTCAGTGATGCTGTAGCTGTCTTCATGCAGACTCACTCTATAGTCTGCATAGTGCAGTCATCTATTGACATTTCTTAGAAGGTGGCCTGTCGTGACAGCAGACAGAGAGTTTTACTAGTTGCTACCTTTAATTTCGTGATGAATTTATCTTGGCCTGGATTGTTGACATCCTTGCCATTAAAAGGAAAATCCAAATAAAATTTATTTCAGTGACGCCAAAAATGACATTCTTTTCAAGGACTCATCCTGGCTTTAAGATACTGTGGCCACAAAGGAACTTAGAATGCAGCAGCACTTGAAACCAAACAGAAAATGAGTCTGAGTGGACACAAGGCTAGCCAGTGCTTAAAGGCAACATTGCTCAGAGTTAATCAGTTTAGGACGGCAGGGACAACGACCTAACACATCTACGTCACTGTTTCCTTCAACGTCACCGAATGTTAGAGAAAAGCAGCCGCCACTAAGGTCGTTGCTCTTCGTGTTTACCCGAATCCTTTTATCCTTCCTATGTGCGTAAAGAGGGCTTGTCATGTAAGCTACTTGTGCATTGCCTAGAGAAAGGCAAGTGTGAGCTATCAGTGAGGGACTAGGTTTTTGGGTTTTTTTTTTTTCTCCTCTGGCTTTAAATACTTCAGTTTTGCTGGGCTGGGGAGATGGCTCAGTGACGGTGCTTGCTGTCAAGGCGGAAGACCTCAGTTTGATTCCCAGAGCCCATAGGATGAAAGGAGAGAAGAGTCTCACGCAAGCTGTCCTCTGATGGCTACGTGTACGCTATGGCGCATGCACACCCATGCACAGGCACACATAGACACAAGTATGCAGGTAAAATATATGCCCAAATAAAGCACCAAACGTTGACATTGCTGCCAGTCTGATGTATCTGATCAATCTATGAATCAAGTAGAGGCAAATTACAAACGTAAATCAGAGAATAAATACATGCTCAGAAACATGTAAGTATGTGTGTGTTGTGGGAACACACCCAATTTCTATATAGCTCTTTTTTTTTTTAAACAGGAAAGATCTGTTATTTCAAGGTTCTTCAAAATGATACTTAATGTCCCTAACATTGGCATGAAAGATTGGTTGCTTTAAAGTTCTTCAAAATAGTACCTAATACTCCTATGTACAGTATGTTCCAAATAGTACAAAGAGAGCCAGGCACAGTGATACATGCCTTCAGGCAGAGGCAGGTGGAATTCTGTGAGTTCACATCTAGCCTACACAGTAAATTCCAGGCCAGCAAGGGCTATATAGTGAGACCCTCTCTCAAAAAGTCCATATTGTATATGCCTTCAAAGGAAAAAAAAAAAGACCACTGATATCATTTTTCCTGTATACATTTAATATATTTCTCAGAAACATATGTACACACACATATATATAATGCAGACATGCCATCAAAGACATAGGTTAGAAGACATAAATATGTAGCTTCGATTGGGAAGAACATGATTCTATCCAAGAATAGGACTAGCACTTCTTCAACAGCTGCTCTACAACCTCAGGCTATATCTCTTCAAAATACACCTCTACTGCAAAATTTGAACTGTAAATATTCCACGTTTTTGATTTATGGGGATTATCCAATTCATTTCTTGGTAGATAAAGCCTAAGAATAAGAAAAAAATGATTACATTTTCTATTAAGGCTAACAGAAAGCCATGCAAATAGGTTACTTGGTTGAAGTTTCAGGGAAAAGACCTCACTACCAATCAGAGCCTCAGACCCTCTCTGTGTGTTGGCTGACTCCTTCTAACTCTCCAAGATACCTTAATAATAATAATAATAATAATAATAATAATAATAATAATACTCTAATAATAAGGATGTGCTACTGATTCTCCAACACTGGTTCTTATGATCTTATTAGTGATATTTCTCTAAGTGAGAAATACTCCAGAGACGTGTAATAAAACCCAGTACTAAAACATTGCTTCTCCTTTAAGTGAAGAACTTTGTGTTTTAGCTTAACAGCTGTCTCCTGACTATATAAACAGTTTGCCTTATCCATATGCAAATTAAATGTTACAAACATCTTTAGCATCTTCCATAAAAGTAGTAAAATGATCCAACTTTGCTTCTCCTATATCAACATGGACTACAAGGGACAAAGACTCGTGATTCAAAGATTGTGCACATCCAGAAATAAATGGTCAAAATCTCCACCAAGTACAAAGTCACTACAAATCGAAATCATGGGCATTGCAAGTTCACTTCTGGTGTCTTCCAAGGCTTGAATTGTTACCAGGCCTTGGTCAGTTTGAAGAGAAGATTAGGACAGTATTAACTCAAGACCTGTTCAGTGACAACCACTTCAACACCATCTACCAGCTGACTGAGTTAAATGATTTTTCTCCTGTAGTGGATTCTCATTCTCTCTCTGTCTAGCTGCCTCTGTCTCCTCCTTGTTCTCATGACCACAAGAAGATTCTTTGGAATAACATTCAAATCCAATTAATTTTTTTTTTTTTTTTTTTTTGGTTTTTCGAGACAGGGTTTCTCTGTGTAGCTTTGCGCCTTTCCTGGAACTCACTCTGTAGTCCAGGCTGGCCTTGAACTCACAGAGATCCGCCTGCCTCTGCCTCCCCCAATTAATTTTTTAAATAAAGATTTCCAATTCAATTTCTAATAAATGATTTTCTAATAAATTATATTTAAGTGGGAAATTATCGCATGAATGATTTTAGGTGACTTCATTAATACCCATGCTTTCTAACTTCTTTCAGCCCTAGATGGTAGGTGTGCCAATCAGCTTCTAAGCTGTGGACACCTCTGGATCGCACTTAGAATTTGGTGGTTGGGTGCCCATTAGTCAACACTCCTCGAGGCCTTGCCAAACTCAAGGCACTAAGTGGATGCATATTAACCTTCCATGGAAGGAGTTTACTGTCACATTCACATCTGAGGATAATACATTTTGTCTTATAGTCCAAAGGCACAGTGCTTGTGACTAATGCGACACTGAGGTTCAAGTAGCAGCCGGATATTGAAAATAACCTTTACCAAGTCACATGATGTCCCAAGCAAGGGGAACAGAGTGGAGGTGGGGGTGGCTAATGGAACTGAGTTCCGTGAAAAAGACAAAAGGAAACACAAACTGTAAGTGTATATTGTATTGTATGTGTATTTCATACTAATAATAAATGCAAACAAACTCTAAAAGGATTTTAAAACCACATTAAGATGACTAATGCATTAGAGTGACTCAAGGATTTTGTTTTGTTTCTATAAGTTGACGTTAGGACAGCTGGCGTAAACCTTGTCATAATACATACATGGAGCATGAAGCTGGTTCTGGTAGATTACAGTGTATCCCTACCTGTTTTTTCGTATAAAAGCTGTATGAAACCAAAAGAAAAAGGGGCAGTCATCATAGTATTTGGGAAGATTCTAAAAAAGACATGGTTAAAGAAAAAGGTTAGTTTCATCATAAAACTGATACAAAGAACTAATGATTCCAATGAGTTTAAAATTTCTTCCCTTATTCCTGTAAAAACATATTAAGCCATCACATTTATTAAATATGCAGCACTTTACAGTTTATAATGATATACTCAAGACACAAAGAAGGCTTCGAGAGAATGTTGCTTTCTCTTGGTGTTAAAAATTTTAAGGAAATGTGTTAAAATGTGTTATTTAGCTGGTAATTTCAATTAAAATATAAATCTCAAATTAGTGCAGTGAAGTAAAAGAAAACAGATAAATTGAACTTAAAATATAACTTTTATGCATTAAAAATGGCAGTGTTTGAAAAGCCATAGGAATCATTATTTCTATTAGCCTAAATTTACTTATAGTACATATAAGGGTGTGTATATACATATACATATATAGTTTAAATGAAATCATGCCACTTGAGCTGACAGCATTTCCACCAAGAGCAACAGACTAACAAAACCCTCAGTACCAAGTGTGAGAAACTTTCATTTCAAATTATTGGTCAGGGTAGACTCAGAGATTCCCCAGACAATCTAGGCTGTTACTGTTGCTATTGGTTACCTACCAGAGGTAGAAGGGATGTCCCTATTGCCGAAGACACCATGGACTTTGGATGCAGGACTCAGAAGATCCAAGCTCAATCTGACCTGAAAGCCTTTGGAAGGTGCTATGTATGCTTCGAGGGGAGGGACGCAACCACTAGCCTACCCAGCCATGAGCATGGCAACATATCCCTAGGGTGCAACAGTGGCACTCCATCTTGGCAGCAACCAACAGCTGTCTAGTGAAGACGTCAGGCCCGCTCATCAGGAGATAATCAGGGCTGGTACTGGAAACCTAGTCAACTCCCTGGAGCTAATTGTCATTGGATCTTAGAGACTAACCTAGTATCACCAGTTTACTAAACCAGCATAATTCCTAACTGCATTCTAAATACTTATCCTTATACCCACGATGAGTGTAGTTCTTAAACCTCCTCAAGGAAGCTTCTCTTTGTAGCAGACCAAGGTCATTACAAAAAACAACAACTACAAGAAACAACTGGTCAAAATACTGAGAACCACTTATCCTGGAGCACCTTGCTCCAGTGGACACATCCACGGCACAGTTCCTGTACCTAAGACTCAAGGAGCAATGGAGAAGAAGGGTCAGAAATACTGTAAGAGCCAGAAGACTAGGAAATCAGCGACGATACGTGTCTCTTAGAAACACAGGCAGGCTTCATCCGTGACACCACAACAACATGACTGCTTAAACGAGACCTGAACTAGGGCAACACCGGTGACAATGTGGAAGGAGGTATCTCAACATTTGAGAGGGCGCAAGGGGAGAAGATACAGGCGGGGATGGGAGGAGGAAAGGGAAGGAAGGAGACATGTCTTCCAAGTAACGGTCCTTGCTCTTTTTGAAATCCAAAGCCTCTGTTTTCATTAATTGTCGTTAAATATGTAACACAAATTCCTAAACAGTCTTATTAATAAAAGAAAAAATCCGGAGCCAGATATTGGGGTGAAAGCTGAAAGATCAGAGAGGCAGAACAAGCCACAGCCAACCTCACCTCTCCAACTCCTCAGCTGGTCCTGTTTCCACAAATCCTCAGACTGAAAAGCCTCTGAGTCCTCACCCATGAGGGTCTCAGTTGAACTGCCTAAAAAGCCTAAAAGCTTCTAAAAACCCCTAGTTACTGGTCCTCACACCTTATATACTTTTCTGTGTCCTGCCATATTACTTCCTGGGACTCTCATGAGTGGTGTTGGGGTTCTTGTTAGTTGGTCTTTGGTCTTTTGCTATTGGAAGAAGCATCATCAACTCATATACCCATTTATTCTCACATATATATTCTCATATATATTCACATATACACACATATATATGTAGTGACTTATGTGTATTATATTTTTCCAGATATTTGTACTGTTAAAAAATTTAAAAAAAATTAGAAGCACATCACCTAACAATACACAGAATCAATGAATCAAAGAGCTGGTTATTTGAGAACATAAACAAGATTGACAGACCTTTGGCTCAACTAACCAAAAAAAAAAAAAAAAAGAAAAAGAAAAATAGGACCTAACACAATCAGAAATGAACAGGGAAATATTACAACAAACACCAAAGAAATTCAGAATTATATAAGGGAATATTCTAAAAACTTGTATTCTCTTAACCTGGGAAACCTAAAAGAAGTGGATGAATTTCTGGATTCAGTCAAACCACCAAAGTGAAACCAAGAAGAAGCCAGCAACCTAAACCATAATAAATGAGATTGAAATAATAATATAAAAAAAATCCAGCTTAAAAATAGTCCAGGGCCAGAGGATAGACATCAGAATTCTACCAGACTTCCAAAGAAGATCTGCAGCCAATCCTTCCTAAAAGATAAGAGAGAAACAGAAGGTGCACTCCACTCTTAATTCCAAAGCCAGGAAAAGACACAACAAAAAAAGAAAACTACAGCTTTCAAACTACAGATTCAAAAATGCTCAATAAAACACCGACAAACAGAATACACATATATATTAAAATATTATCTACCATGACCAAGGTAGCTTTAGACCTGAAATGCAAGGAGGGTTCAACATATGCTAGTCAATAAATGCAATAAAACACATAAATGGACTTAAATAGAAAAATCACATGGACATCTCAATAGATGCAGAAAAAGCCTTTGACAATAGATGCATTCATGGTAAAAGTCCTAGAGAATGTAAGGCTAGAAGGAACATAATTCAACATAATAAAACCATATCTGAGAAACCCACACACATCATCATCCTAAACGGAGAAAAGCTAGAAGCAATCCCACTAAAGTTATGAATGAGAAAATGATGTTCCCGACCCCCACTCCCTTTCAATATTGTTCTAGAAACACTAGCTGGAGCAATAAGTCAAGAGAAGGAAATTAAAGTGACACAAACAGGGAAAGAAGAAGACAAACATGGCCATGTGGCAGGATTCTGAATCAACTTGCGCAAATCAAGAGCTTTTCTACACATCGCTAACAAATATATAGAAAAGGAGATAAAAGACTAACTCCCACTCACAATCCTTAAATATCTAGGAAGAAACCTACCCAAGGAAGTAAAGGACGTCTACAATGAAAACTTTAAGACCCCCAAAGAAAGAGATTAAGACACTGGAAAGTGGAGAGACATCTTGTGCTTATGAGTTGGTAGAATTAATATTAGGAAAATGACCATTTTACCAAAAACTATATACATATTCAATGCAATACCATTCAAAATCTCTAACTCATTCTTCACAGAAATAGAAAAAAAACTATCCTAAAATTCATATGGAATCACAAAGACTCTGGATAGCCAAAACCATTCCAAGGAAAGATAACAATGCTGGAGGGATTATTATTCCAGATTTTAGATATATCTCAGAACCATAATAAAAAAATACAGTACAGACATATAGGTTAATGGAACAAAATCAAAGACTCAAATATGAGTACCTGTAACTTCAGCCATTTAATATTTTACAGAGATGCCCAGAACAAAGGCTGGAGAAAGGAAAGCATCTTTTCTTTCTTTCTTTCTTTCTTTCTTTCTTTCTTTCTTTCTTTCTTTCTTTCTTTCTTTCTTTCTTTCTTTCTTTTTTTGTTTTTTGAGACAGGGTTTCTCTGTGTAGTCTTGCCTGTCCTGTATTCACCCTGTAGACCAGGCTGACCTGGAACTCACAGAGCTCCTCCTGCCTCTGCCTCTGAAGTGCTGGGATTAAAGACATGGCATGTGCCACCATGCCACCACTGCCCAGCAAGAAAGCATCTTTAACAAATGGTGCTGGGTAAACTCTATGTCCACATACAAAAGAATGAAATTAGACCTGTGTCTATCACCTTACACAAAAACTAACTCTAATGGCTCAAAGACTTAAACATGAAACTCGAAATGTTGAAAGTGCTAGAATATAACATAGTACCCCACATCAAATAAACATAGAAAAGGACTTTCTGAACAGGATGGTCTGCCCAGGAATTAAGGCCAACAACTGAGAAGTGGGACTTCATAAAACTAAAAAGCTTCTGCACAGCTAAAGAAGGAAGCCACGGAATGGGAGAGAATCTCTGCCAGCTACACATCTGACAGAGGATTAGTATCCAGAATACATAAAGAACTCGAAAAACAAAGAATAATAACAATAATAAAAAGATATTTAAAACATGGACCTGAACAGAGTTCTCAAAAGAGGGAAAAAATGGATAATAAATGTCTCAAAAAAAGTTTATCATGCCTAGCAATTAGGGAAATACAAATCAAAACAACTTTGACATTTCATCTTTCCCTAGTAAGAACGGGAAAGATCAACAAAATGGTTTGTGGAGAAAAGGGAACTTTCATTCACTCTTGGTGGGACTGTAAACTGCGCAGGCACTATGGAAATCAGTGTGAATTCTCAAAAAACTAAAAATAAATCTACCATATGCCCAAAGGACTCAACGTCCTACTCCACAGATGCTCTGTTCAGCCTCAGTCATTGCTGCTCTGTTCACAATAGCTAGGGGACAGAAGCAACCCAACGGTCCTTCAGCTGAGAAGTGGATACTGAAAATGTGGCACATGTACACTATGGAATTCTGTCCAGACGTTAAGAAAAATGAAATCATGATAAAGTGGTTAGTGAAAATGTGGCACATACACACTATGGAATTCTGTCCAGATGTTTAGAAAAATGAAATCATGGACTTTGCACAAAAGGGGATGGAACTAGAGGTTATATTGAGTGAGGTCGCTTTCTATTGCCTTTAGGTGGCGCTCTTCTTCGTTCCCATGAGGCATGCTGCCCTCTTCTTTCTGGGATCCTTCCAAGTAATGAAAAGCTGCTGCTGTTATTATCTTTTGCGATCTGTGATCATCTCCACCATACCTACCTAGCACACCTGAACACAATGTTCTTCCTTCCAGGGCTAGCCTAGAAAGTGGCCATCTTTATAGGAATAAATTAGACAGGGCAGACAAGAACCACAGGACGTCTGCCAATAGAAACAGGTTCCTGTGAGAGGGTCACTGATCAGACACTTAGGCATTAGGCTGTCAAAGAAATAGTTTGAGAAAGACATGTAAGTATATACAACCACTTCACTAGGAAATCTATTAGAACAAGCTTAAAAGTTATAGCCACTCTCCAGAGAGAAGTCTCAAGACAAATCTAAAGGAAAAGAAAGTGTTTCTTACTGATTTCTGCAAGGGGAAGCTACACTGAATAATTAATCAACAAAGCTGATGATAAAAATACCTATATTTGCTGGGCAGTGGTGGCGCATGCCTTGAATAACAGCACTCGTGAGGCAGAGGCACGCAGATCTGAGTGAGTTTGAGGCCAGCCTGGTCTACACTGTGAGTTCCAGGACAGCCAAAGCTATTATACAGAGAAACCCTGTCTTGAAAAGACAAGAAAAAAAAAAAAAAAGAAAGAACTACCTATATTTTTGGAATGTACTTTCATGTTACGGCTTTGATGATCACAAAGGCTGTATTTTACCAAGGTTCCTTGACCAATTGTCTTTGTGGGGCCAGAAAGAAAGATGAGAAAATATGAGGACATGACAAGGGAAAGGAGACCCTTCATCCTGGTTGAAACCTCTTGCCAGCTGGGAAGGAAGAATTCTAGCACAGTTACCATTGTTTTACAAGTTGCTGACAGAGAGTTTGTTCTTTCCTTATGTAGATACTGTATGTTAAGATAGCAATGGACCAGTCTTAAGGCCTGAATGTATACGACCTAGGGAAGGGCATCATTCCTTCTGACTGACACTTTCTGCACATTGATACCATACCTTCTGCTACTCCTGAGGTTATCAATTGTAATCCTGTCAGATGATCCCCAGGAACCACCCTATTATCTAATTTAGGCTCCAAACAAACCTTTCATAATACCTTCAACGCCCACCAAAATAAGACTATTAAAATGACATTGTGATTCTCAGAGAAGCCTGCACCCAGCCTTTGTTTCTGGATGCTTTTCTTTCTCCTGATCCTTGTTTTTAGAATGTATATTGTAATATCTTTATTAACACCAATTCTGATTCATACTTGCCAGTCCCAAAATTCCTTTCTGCCTCAGAGCCATGGATCCTGGTCAAGCTCGGGTCAAAGTGTCTAAAAGTCGAGGCTCAGAGTAATCTTTTGAGGGTCCCCAGGTGCTCCTGGAAGTGTCCCTCACAAGTGGCACTTGAATACTATCTTTGGTTAGAGATTGCTGCTTGGGTGGAATTCAGAGCAGCTCCATTCTTCAAGGCAGCCAGCCTATATGGGAACCACCTAAGTCACCTGCTTCGACCTGTTTATAATTTAAGTAGCTAGCAGAAAGGAGGCAGAGGATGAAAAAGGAAGAGACATTTTAAGTTGACTAACATAGTTACTTGTAGTTCAGATGAATAATTTTATAGAAAAAATGAAACGAGTGAGGCTTAAAGATTGCTACATGCAGTAAATATCCAGACATAGTATTTATAACTGATAACATAACTTAAGATATTCTGAGTAGTGACAATGGAAGACATTCCCATTTTTCATAAGGCAAGATTAGATTAATAAAATGATTATATTGATTGTCATTTCAAAGGTAAGTTAAAAACCTTCATTTTAAAGTCTGTTATAAATTATTGGCAATAATATGGTGTTTTGTTTGTTTGCCATTTTGGGATTTGGGGAGACAGAATCTCACTATGTAGCTCAGTTGGTCTGGAACCCACAATGTAGACCAGGCTGACCTCAAACTCAGAGATTCACCTGCCTCTGTCTCCTGAGTGCTGGGATTAAAGATGTATGCCTGAATTCCCAGTGGCTACAACATATCTTAAAGATACAAAACAAAAACATAATCACTGATTTGTAGTATTTTTGTTTTTTTTTCAAATCAAGATGTTTCCTTTTTTTTTTTTTTTTTTTGGGTTTTTTCGAGACAGGGTTTCTCTGTGTAGCTTTGCGCCTTTCCTGGAACTCACTTGGTAGTCCAGGCTGGCCTCGAACTCACAGAGATCCGCCTGGCTCTGCCTCCCGAGTGCTGGGATTAAAGGCGTGCGCCACCACCGCCCGGCTAAGATGTTTCTATTTTATTTGAAAGTTAATATGTGCTTATTATATAGAACTTATAAAATGAACAAAATATTATATATGTTCTTCAGGGAAAAAGTCTCATTTTGATTTGTTGCTTTCCTCCAATTTCCTGGCCTTGCGCTGATGTCTGTCATTTCCTTTATTGGGAATTGTAGCAAAGGAAATTCCAAACCAAAATCATTAAAAAGACCACAACACAAGAAAGAGTCACCCTTGGTGACACAACCCTGTAACCCCAGCACTTGGGAGGCTGAGGCAGGAGGATCACATGTTCAAGGCCATCCTGGGGTGCATAATAAGGACTATGCATCTCTGTCTCAAAAAACTAAAACAAAAGAAAAAGACCAGACAAGAACAAGGTGTATCTTCATTACTCACCGGACAGAGAAATTTCACTTTCACATCCTCATATAGAGCTGGACATTTGTATACGTCAATTATTACTCTGTCTGTTTCAACGTCATGAAATATCTGTGAACAAACATATGAAATTCACAACTATATGCTTGGTTAAGATGTATAAGAGTGAAGTCCCCTTTTACTCCCTCAAACATCCTAAATTTATCAAGTATCCTTGATGCCAAAGTCCAGTCATTTCACACACACATATATATATATATATATATATATATATATATATATATATATATATATATATGTAGATATTAATCTTTCTATGAAATTGTAACTCAGTTATTTAAATTAACCTTACATCTGTTGAAGGCCCTGATGGGACACTGTTGAAAAATACATTATTAAATATAATAGATCTCAACCAAGAAAGCATTACTGTTGGCTATTCATCATCTCATTTTCCTATGTTGAAGCCTTTTTTTAAAATGTACTATGCGGGCTGGAGAGATGGCTCAGTGGTTAAGAGAGGTTCCAGAGGACCTGGGTTCAGTTCCGAGCACCCACATGGCAGCTTACAACTGTCTGTAACTCCAGTCCTAGGGTACTAAAACACCAGTGTACATAAAATAAATAAGTTATTTTAAAAACAATGCACTACACATGCCATCCCCAAACCCCATGTCTAGCGCTGGGTGTATAGCCTTTGCACCCACCCATTCTGGTGAGTTCCTTGCAACATGAACCACCTACAACATCCCCAACCCTCGGGCCTAGCTCTGTGAGCTCGGCTTCTGTGCCAACCTAGCCTTGTAAGTTCCCACAGAACATCACCCAGCTATGCCAAACCTAAGGCCTAGCCTTGCTGGCACAGTCTGTGTACTCAGCAGCCTGGCTTGGTGGATACTTCAGATGATATCTCACCTGCACACACTCCTATGCATAGCTTGACTACTGAAGCTTGTACACCATCCCAGGCAGGCCCAGCTGTAAGTCTCATTCTGCATCAGATGGGGTCCCAGCTGAGAGAAAAAATGCACACAAACCCCCATCCCTAGCCGAGAACCTATCTCCAGTTGATAATCACTCACAAATGAAGAATTAGTTCTCTCCCACGGAGTCTCACTGGGGATACAAACCATTCCGAAGGCCAAGCCCATGCCCAGCAGTAGACTGCCACTATGAAATGAACTGATGGCATCTTTGGAGGTTCTTTGTCTCATAATGCTGTGTCAGGGCATTTGTTTATTATTTTTTAACCTTACAGATCCTTTGCTTATATACTACGGCTTCTAATTTTGTGTACTTAGTGGATTCCTGTGTGTACAAATGTGTGTGTGTCTCTCATGTTTTTTCTTTGGCTCTTTTTCTTCTATTTGTGTGTTTGTTTTGTTCTACTCTGGTTTCTTTTATCTTATTTTATTAACTATTCTTTAGTTGTCTGTTTGTTTTCTAAAGAGAGACAGAAAGGGTTTGGATCTGGAAGGGAAGGGAGATGGGGAGACTCTTGGAGTAGTTGGGGGAGGGGAAATGGTATCTGAATATATCATATGAAGAAATTCTATTTCAATAAAAGAAAAGCATTTTAATTAAATTATAATTTTAATTTAAAAAGGGGGTACATCCAGAAACAGAGGGCACACCCGAGTAACAAGGAAGGATGGAAAGAGAACAAATGATGCTATAATCAATGGAACACAAGATAGAAACAATAATACAAAGAGCAGAGAGAGAGAGAGAGAGAGAGAGAGAGATAGCAACGAAAACATTTCTTTTCTTTCAACAGTAGCTTTAAATATAAATGCCCTTGACTCTCCAATCAAAAGACACAGGCATTTGAATAAAGAAAGAAAATCTATCCTCTAGTATTATTCAGAAGACATAAAGAAGGTTACACCATTCTGATCAAGAGAACAATTAACCAAGAAGACATACAGTCCTACACATACATACACCAAATTCCCAGGCACTCAAATGTATTAAAAACAAAACAAACAAAAAACAAAACTGTAGCATGAATCTTAAAGAGTCTTATTAATAAAATCAAACCTAAAGCCAGGTATTGGTATTGGGGTGAATGCTGGAAGATCAGAGAAACAGAACAAGCCACAGCTACCTCACCTTGCTAATACCTCAACTGATCCTGTTTCCTCAGACTGGAAGCCTCTGAGTTCTCATCCAGAATGAATCTCAGCTGAACTGTTTTTTGAAAGCCTGAAAGCTTAACCCGCTCTAGTTCTTGGTCCTCATGCCTTAAATACCTTTCTGCTTTCTGCCATCTCTTCCTGGGATTAAAGGCATGTGTCACCATGCCTGGCTGTTTCCAGTGTGGCCTTGAACTCACAGAGATCCAGATGGATTTCTGCCTCTGGAATGCTAGGATTAAAGGCATGAGTACCACCATTTTCTAGCCTCTGTATCTAGTGGCTGTTCTGTTCTCTGACCCCAGATAAGTTTATTAGGGTACACAATATTTTGGGGAACACAATACCACCACACAAAACAACTACAAACTTCAAAACACAGATTAACATCACCTCAGTAATAACAGGTGACTGATTTCAATAACTCACCTTCTCCAATAGAAGGACAATTTGAATAAAAAATACAGAGGAACATTGGAATTATATGACATCAGACATCAAAAGGACCTAACAGGCATCTGTCAAGTACTCTACACAAACACCAAAGAATATATATTCTACTTAGCATCCCACAGAACTTTCTCTAAAACAGATCATATACCAGGATACAAAACAATTCTCAACAAATACAAAAGCAATTGAAATAACTCTATACATTCTATGTGGCCACAATGCAATAAAACTTAAAATCAGCAACAAAACAAATTAATAAAAACAAACTCATAGAAATTAAATAACACATTAAATAACACTGGGTCAAAGGAGACATCAAGAAAGAAGGTTTGTTGTTCTGAAACTAAACAAAAATAACACAACAAAACTCTGAGGTACATTAAAGCTGTGTTACTTTGCCTGTCTAAAACACTTGATGGTCTGATAAAGAACTGAATGGCCAATAGTGAGGCAGGAGAAAGGATAGGTGGAGCTGGCGGGCAGAGAGAATAGATAGAAGAAGAAATCTGGGAGAGAAAGAAGGAGCAAGAGAACAAGGAGAGGAGGAAGCTAGGGGCTGGCCAGCCAGCCATGGAGTAAGAATGAAAGTAAGATATACAGAAGTAAGAGAAAGGAAAAAGCCTAGAGGCAAAAGGTAGATGAGATAATAACTTAAGAAAAGCTGTCAAGAAACAAGCCAAGCTAAGGCCGGGCATTTATAATTAAGAATAACCCTTCATGTGTGTATTTATTTGGTAGCTGGATGGCCAGGGCCCCTCAAAAGAGCAAGAGTTAAAAAAAAAAAACAACCAACAACAAGACATAAACTTAAAACCTTGATAGATTGCTGGGAATGCACTTAAGCATTGTGGGAAAGTGAAAGATAAAGCAAGACTGGGCCAGAATTTACAGAAAATGTCTTGCAAAACCCATTTTGAACAGCAAGGTGAAGTAAGCTAGCTCTGGTTTTTATCAAAACCAAGCATCCCCAAATTGGATGGTAACCAGAGAGCAACAAGCATCTCTTTGTGGCTTGGGAAATGAACATGCTGTTTTGATGCTGAGTTTTCAATTAAACACCAGGGCTAGGGAAATTGCTTAGCTGGGTAAGAGCCTGTTGTGCAAGCATGAGGACCTGAGTTTGGATCCTCAGCACCTTCACAGGAAGTTGGGTGTGGAGGATCACTCTGTAATGCTAGTACTGGGGATGTGGAGACAGATGGATCCCTGGTCTTGCTGAATTAGTGAACATCAGGATCGGTAGATACTCAGTCTGGGAAAATGAGGTGGGAAGCCATTAAAGCAGGCACCCAACCTTGACCTCTGGATTTTACATGCAGCCACACACACTCGCTCCCACATCAGGACACACACCTATACCCCTCCACATACACACACCAACAAAAGCAAAAATAAAGCCAGAAATCTCAGTTCATGTATTTTCTCTTACCATACAATTTTTGGAAGAAAAACAGGAAAATATAGTCTCCTGCCACATTATTATTTGAATTTCTAGATCGCTTCCATCACCTTTTCCAACACCTGAGTAAAAATGAAGAATATAGACTTGTTAAACGTCCAAACAGCTCTTCCATCCAACTTTCCCCATATTTTACCTTGACAGATATGCTAATAAAGTCATAGTCATTTTTGATGGTCCATCTAACATAATTTTCTTTATATTTAAGGTTTCATTAACACCATCTTACTAAATTAGCATCATGAACTGGGGTTTCATGCCTCGGTTTCCTCTGCTCCGTTCCAGTGACTGAACCACTGATGTTGACCAGAAATAAATAAAATATAAAACTGTTGTGTGCTTGTATGAAGATGTTTTATATAACACAGTATTATGTACATTGAATACAGATGATAAAATGAAAAAATTATAGAACCATATGAAGTCAAATACTTACCACATGACAGGAAAAATGAATGTATCAAAGCCCTTAAGTTCTCACACACTTAAAAATTGCAAACTGTATAAGTGGATCTTAAAGATTTAAAAACATAAAAGTAAAACAAACAAAAATCCTATGCAGTGAAAAATTTCCATCTTACCATCCCCAAATATGTAACCAATATTATTAATTTTTTTAGGTGATGGGAATTTTTGTTTTATATGTATATAAACATCTTAATCACAGTTTCCCCTCCCTTCTCTCCTCCAAGTCCCTCACCCCACACCTCCCTTCTGCCTTCCCTCCCATCCATTATTCCTCTGTTTTTATTCAGCAAAAGGGCAGGCCTCCCATGGATATCAACAAAACATGGCGTATCAAGTTGTAGTAAGGCTAAGCACCTTGCCTTCTATTAAGGCTGGGCAAGGCAACTTGATTTGTTTTTAAACCTAATCAACTGCAAATATTTGTTTCCCACATAATTGTGAACACATATGTTCCTTTCTGTTTTACAGAAATAGTTTCATAGTATATCATTGCCTTAGATTTTGCCAAAATTTGGGTTCAACTAATTGATAAGTGAAGGGGAAGTACAATGTTACAGGTTTTGCAAAGTACCACACATGAACAGGCAGGTAGGAAATGGCTGAACTTAACAAGTAAGTTCAAGCAACTGGACACAACTAACTTCTGTTTCTATGGACAGATTATTTGTAATCATCCATTTTCTTCAAAGTAAAAAGTTATGAAATAGCTCACAGGCAAATCAAAAGTACTCTAAGTCTGAACAGCAGCACTAGGCAGATACTTAGCTATTTTCAAGTCTGTTACACCTTTCCATTCTCTTTCTATTTTGACCAAAGTCTTTAAGGTAAGGTTATTCTTATTCAAAAACAAGACTGGTTATTGCCTTGGGTACTGCCATAATGTTAACCTGACCTGTAGTCCTCCTGAAGTCTATTCTGTAAATCTAGAGCAATCCTCTTTTTAAGACTAGGATTATAAGCTCAAGTTTCTGTCCACAGGTCTTCGTGAGGAGTCGTCCTTAGATGGTCCTTAAAGGCCTCAGCCTTATGTTAAGTCAAAATTAGGAAATCAAGCCCATGAAACGCCCTGCTAGACTTCACATGAACATGTATGTTTGTGTTAGGTCCTCTGGTCTTTGACTAAGTCTTTAATTAAACTTTATAGTGTGAAATAATGTCTCCCCAGGGTTTAAATAAATGTAAAACTATTATTGAGGGAAATTGTAGTCTTATGACTAGATATCAGGTCAAGGCAATGGATGAGATACTCGAATTTACTAGAACATTTGTAATCTTAGAATTTTCAAGAAACAATTTTTATTCTTAATGTTCATATTAGAGAAATGCATTAAAATCTCATCAGACTAAATGCCCCTTGACCACACATAAGCAGCTGAGGCATAGTACACACGCAGGTACTAAACAGTCTGTCATTAGCTAGTGTGGTTTTATAGTTGCATTTATATTTCTTAGTGGAAGAAATTGTTCCATCAGCATAGGGTGCTGCCTTTTGTGGTGCAGAATACAGCAGTGTAAATCTCTTTTCCAGATGAAAAAGAAGGTGAGGGAGGCATAGCTGCCACCATCTTTTCATCACCTACTGGACAAGGTGGCATCTACCCTCCCTCAGATGAGGAAGAGGGACCTAACCACGGTTGGAATGCTAAGTGAGGCCAGCACTGGGTGCTACCCAGCTGGGCCTCATAATTCCTATGGGTCTTATGGGTCCCAGGAAGCATTAACAATGGACTTTGCACAGACAGCTGCTCACTTACACACCCAAGCTGTCTCCTGCTAGGACAGGGGACTCTACTTATATAGTGCTCCTTTCGAAATCTACATACAAACAATAGGTTGAAGTTTGGTTCTGGAAGAAAGAAATCTAAACAGTTCTGTAGGAATTTCTTAAAATTTCCAAGGTAAACAAATGTATGTAAACAATCTTACAATGGCAGTTTTAATTTGTATCTTAAAGGTTTCTTTCTGAATAATTGGGCAAATGTCAAAGACTATACACCTAGGTATGATTTTGTGTGGCTCCATAGAAGGCTAGACATCCTAGGTCATCTGGAGGATGCTAGTGTCTGGTAATGGTTTCTCTGGCACCCAGCACTTAGGACTCTGCATGGTCCACTACCTAGCTGACATGGACTTTTAAGGGTTCAGAAGCGTCTTTAGCGGCTTTCTTGGCAGTGGAAATGGCACGGCCCTGTCTCTTCTGGGTGAGACGTTCATGGTTTCCCACTTTGCCTAAGAGTGAGTTGTGTATGTGGGAGGCACGGAGAGTGATGGGGAAATAGATACGGATGCTTCCTTTTCTTCTCGTATCTCAGAGGTGGAAAGCCTACCAGGTCTCCTTCCTTCCATGGGTGACAGTAGATCCGAGTCGCAGCCTCTCTCCTTTTACATTCCAGAACAAACGATTAGCTCCATGGAAGAAGATGAGGATTTCTGCTACTGGTAATTCTTTGCAGCAGTTAAGGGGATATAAAACACCGTGACAAAGCTGCTTTCTCCTAACCCTCCCCATTTTCATGTAGATCCAGGTAGAGAGGAAGCAAGGGTTGGCACTTAGGAAGCCTTTTTCCAGCCCTGTGTGCTCTGAAACTCTGGCTGTTCATCTTTGAGCTGGTTCCCTCCTTTGCCAACCACACAGGAACTTCTTTAAAAATATTTGTATTAGTTCTATGAGAATTTACATATAACTTGTGATCATATTCATCTTCTACTCCCAACGCTCCCAGATCCACCCCTTCCATACCCACTCTACTTTGTATCTATTGGTTCTTTAATTGAAACCCATCAAGACTAGTTTGTACTTTCCAAATATTCTTGAATGGTGGTCTTCCATTGGAATGGGGTTGACTTACCAGAGGCTAATCTCTCAGAGAAAACTGACTCCTCTTCTCCCGGCACCCATCACTCGCCAACAGCTCCTCAGCCGGACAGAGGATTTCATGCCCAACTTCCCTCTGCATGCTGGGATTTGGTCTGGCATGGGCTTGCACTAGTCTTGTGCATGCTGTCACAACCACTGTGGGTTCCCACGTGCAACTTCCCCGCTGTGTCAGGAAGACACTGTCTCCTTGCAATCATCCACCACCTCTGGCTCTTACAATCTTTCCACCCCCTCCTTCCAATGACCTCAGCCTTGGAATGGTGTGTGTGGGGGGGGCATGTCCTATATATGTTGTATTTTATGTAGGTGGCAAACACAGACTCACAACTGCAGACAATCAGAGACTGCAGAGTGCTGTGGGATGTTCTGTATGTCAAATGTGTTGCTGATTAGTCAATAATTAAAACACTGATTGGCCATTGGCTAGGCAGGAAGTGTAGGCGGGACAAGGAGGAGAATGGGGCTGGGAAGTGGAAGGCTGAGGCAGAGAGACACTGCCAGCCACCACGATGAGAAACAGCATGTGAAGATGCCGGTAAGCCACGAGCCATGTGGCAAGGTATAGATTAATGGAAATGGATTAATTTAAGCTGTAAGAACAGTTAGCAAGAAGCCTGCCACGGCCATACAGTTTGAAACCAATATAAGTCTCTGTGTTTACTTGGTCGGGTCTGAGAGGCTGTGGGACTGGCAGGTGAGAGAGATTTGTCCTGACTGTGGGCCAGGCAGGAAAACTCAAGCTACAAATGGCGTCCAACGTGGTGGCAAGAGTTTCCACCTAAAAACTGAGAAAAAAAGATTCTAAAACGGAGCTAAAAACAGCTTCCTGCCGGGCGGTGGTGGCGCACGCCTTTAATCCCAGCACTCGGGAGGCAGAGCCAGGCGGATCTCTGTGAGTTCAAGGCCAGCCTGGACTACCAAGTGAGTTCCAGGAAAGGCGCAAAGCTACACAGAGAAACCCTGTCTCGAAAAACCAAAAAAAAAAAACAAACAAAAAAAAACAAAAAAAAAAAAAAAAAAACAGCTTCCTAATTGTCTCTCTCAAATGAGCGGCAGCTGCCTGTTTGAGCTACTGGTGGGTTCCTAGCTTGTGCGCCCGACCTGCAGTATGGCGGGAATGAGGCCTCTGCAAGTGGCACTTTAAGCTACATGGTGGATTTAGCCTTTGCTAGTGCAAAACAAAAAAGGGTTTCTGGGCTACTTGCTGCTTGGATAAAAGCATAGACCCACGATAGCTCCCAGAGCTGGCGGTAAACCACTGCCATGTTGGGAAGCTGAGGTGGGCGGAGCCAGCAGCCACAGCTGCTGCAGTTTAAGGCAATAGATTCACAATAAGACAGATTCAGATGTAATAGTTTACAATGTGTGTAAAAGATACGTAGGCTTGAAAGAGACAAAAAAGATGATATATAGAGTTATAGAAATAAATACATAGTTTTAAAAAATAAAGTCTTTAAAGAGACAGTAAAGGTAGTATAGAAAATAAGTCACGTAAAAATGGATATTACACAGAGAATCTGCATTGTGTTGTCTTTGGGACTTTTAACTGCAGAAAAATATTTGATTGTAAAAGCTGTTGAGTTATGCCAAAATGTATATCTTAAAGGTGCCTTGACTTCAAAATTTGGATATAAGGATATGTTACTTTGGAAAGGAGACTCTGCTTTTGTTCCCACAGAAAGCCAAAGGCTATGGATTTGTTCCAGATTAAGATACATCAGGTTTGACCAGCCAAGACCCCCTGAAAGGTCTCCGATGACACCATGGCCCAGATGATCCAACATCCAGAATGATTTGAAGGCAACTGGCTCAGACGATACACCCTCATGGACTTTTCCATGATCCTAAAATTTTCTTTGTATCCCCATAAGATACAGCGCCCCCCTCCAGCAGGAAGTAGTAAGAGAAGCTACGCCCAAATTCCCAAATTATATGTAATTTTACTTTGTTAAGGTTAAAACCTTCCTTTTTTTAAAAAAAAAAAAAAGGGGGGGGAAGTGCTGTGGGATGTTCTGTATGTCAAATGTGTTGCTGATTAGTCAATAATTAAAACACTGATTGGCCATTGGCTAGGCAGGAAGTGTAGGCGGGACAAGGAGGAGAATGGGGCTGGGAAGTGGAAGGCTGAGGCAGAGAGACACTGCCAGCCGCCAAGATGAGAAACAGCATGTGAAGATGCCGGTAAGCCACGAGCCATGTGGCAAGGTATAGATTAATGGAAATGGATTAATTTAAGCTGTAAGAACAGTTAGCAAGAATCCTGCCACGGCCATACAGTTTGAAACCAATATAAGTCTCTGTGTTTACTTGGTCGGGTCTGAGAGGCTGTGGGACTGGCAGGTGAGAGAGATTTGTCCTGACTGTGGGCCAGGCAGGAAAACTCAAGCTACAGCAGACTTCTACCCAAGGACTTCCAAAGGGCAGGAGACACTGGGATAAGCCTGGTCTGACATAAGCCTTAGTAGTTATGTGGCAGTAAATGCAACATTTGCTGCCTGGGTATTGAAAGCATCACGATGGAGATGCCAGTGAAGGAGAGGAGGTAAATGAAGAAATCAGGGGATGAGAGAAAGGGTCTCTGAAAGGGCAGGTGGGAAAATTATATGAGGATGTCTCTGCAAGACGAACCCTGAACTAGAGGTGAACTAATACAAATATTTTTTAAGAATTTTAAAGTTCCTGTGTGGTTGGCAAAGGAGGGAACCAGCTCAAAGATGAACGGCCAGAGCTTCAGAGCACACAGGGCTGGAAAAAGGCTTCCTAAGCACCAGCCCTTGCTTCCTCTCTACCTGGATCTACATGAAGATGGGGAGGGTTAGGAGAAAGCAGCTTTGTCACGGTGTTTTATATCCCCTTAACTGCTGCAAAGAATTACCAGGCGAACATGGAAAAGAAGAGTTCTCGTGTACTCAGGGCTATCTTCTTTCCCTGCCCCTTCACTGAGGCTTGGCCCCGAAATCTACCCTGGACTGAGGTCAGAGAATCAATGAGAAGGGACAAGAAATGCTTCCCCCAACCACCTCATACCAGCAGATGAAGAAAAGGGAAGGAGAGGGACACTCAGGAGCTGTCAACAAGCTGCCACATGGCCAGTGGGCAACTTCAGAGGTAGGAGCTCGTGTGGAGGCATTGTAAGCAGACAGCTACCCCCCCCCCGCCCCACCCAACCCTTTAGTTCCAATTAAAGCACTTACCATGAATGGAATAAATAATGAATCTTTTTATCACGAGTAGTGTTCTTGGAGGGAGCCTGCTTTGGTACCTGACTTTCAGTTTTTCAAAATATTTAACATATCTATTCTGCAAAGCAACAGAAACCTCAATTTAAGCGGGGATGAAAAGTCTAAAGTCAGCAGGACTAACCCTGCCTCCTTTTGTTTTTCCTTCCCACCTCCCCCTTTTTACAAAGACTTTGTCAGGTATGGCGAGCAATCAATTGCAGGATGCTATTACGTAGTTGGGCATATTTCATATATGTTGTCTCATGAGTGAATATCTACCAAGAAAAAATACTGAGTTTGGTGCTGAGGTGAATGAACTAACATGAAAGGAGCCAATCCTTGCATATGGGCTGCATGGTGTCGGTTTTGTTCATGTGTTGTATGATATATATGATAGTATATGTGCATATGGGTATGCAGGTGCTCATGTGTAGGCCAGAGGTTGGTGCTGGTTATCTTCTTGGTTCTTCTTCTTCTTCTTCTTCTTCATCATCATCATCATCATCATCATCATCATCATCATCATCGTCACCATCATCACTGAGATAAGATCTCAGTGTGTAGCCCTGGCTGGCCTTGAATTTGCTATGTAGACCAAGCTGGCTTAGAATTCTCAGAGATTTATCTTATTTTTTAGACACAAGGTCTCTTGGTAAACTTGGAGTTTATATCCATTAGCTAGACTGACTAGCCAGTGAGCTCTGTGGAGTGACCAGTCTCTGCCTCTTTCCCTACCCAGATGCTGAGGCTTCAGACTTGGGGTACCAGGCCTTCACACAGGGGCCGGAGACCCGAATTTAGGTCCTCATGCTTGAGTGGCAGGTACTTTCCTGAATGAACCATCTCCAAGTCCCTGCTCATGCTTGAGAAGGTGGCTGCTCAAAAAAAACAAAACAAAACACATCAAAACAGCCCCAACATTTCAACATGGTGGTTGGAACTTAGTTATAGTGACCACATTAGAGAAAAAACATGGTTTGGTGGGGAGTTGCCTCCATTCATAGTAAAACTGCATAAACGAAGACTCTAGAAGACATCTATAATATGTCAGTAGATCACACATCACTCTTCTTTGTCTCTCCCGTCTAGAGCTTCTTCACTTTCCATTCCCTTGAATGTTTTTAGGAGGATGCTTTGGGGACCGCTAACCCTATACTTTCCCTATGAAATGTTGCTCACAGGACGTTCCTCGGTTCTTTCTTCAAGAAGCTGAACCACTCTGGTGTTGAACCAACTGGGAAGTGCTAACAAGATTAACAGTCATGCTTCCTATTAGAAATGGAGGTCTGGGACCAGTGAGATGTCTCCATGGGTAAAAGCACTTGCTATGCATGCACGAAGAAATGACTTCAAATCTCAAAACACATGTAAAAGAAATCCAGGCATTGTAGTATAGACAACTGGATCCCCGGAGCTCACTCGCTACCCAGCCTAGCTCACACATCAGTCTTCTGGTTCCGTGAGAGGCCCATCTCAAGACACTAAGGTAGAAAGCAGCAGAGGAAGGAAGATGTCCAATGCCTTCCTCTGGCCTTCCATGTACACACACAGCACATGTACCTGCACACTCACATGCATGCACCATACTCACACACACATACACACACACACACACAAAGAAAGAAAGAAATGGAAGACACGTGTCTTTCTGAGTCTGTCACGTTTTCTCTTTATATAGAACCTGATTAAAAATTACATATGATGGGCATGTACATGTGTATATTTGTGTGTTTGTGTATGCACATATAGTTCATGAAACTAGAAAGGGTATCATAGGAGGGAAGAAAGAGACCTTAAAGGAATGGGGACCCAGGGAGAATAATATGATATAATATTATAATATAATAATATAATGTAATATATAATAATATAACTCTTATTATATGTATTCCATATAATAATGAGGAGAAGGGGGTACTAACTGAGGGAACGATGGAAATGAGCCAGAGGGTAGTAGGGTAGCACATGGATGAGGACAGTGGGCACAGGGGTGAGAATGAATGGGAGCAAAATATGACACATGTATGGAGACATCATGATGACATCAATTACTTTGTATGCTAACCTAAAATATTAATTTTTAAAAAAGAAATGAAAGTTAAAAGAAAGGTTTCTACAAGTCCTTAACTCTGAAGTGGATGTAATGTGGCCAGCAGAGCGGTCCACAAGTCATAGAATGTGATGGTGGATACATACATCTACCCAACTGCTGGGGCCACCGGTACCCAACAAAGGGCACTCTAGTCCATGACCTTGCCAATTCCTCCCAAACTCGTAGTTGAGTCCTTGTGCTGGTAGCCTTCATAAATGCCATTAAGGAGGTTTTTGTTTTGCTTTGAGTCAGGGTTTCTCTGTGTAGCTCTGGCTGTCCTGGAATTCTCTATGTAGCCTGGGCTGGCCCCCTTGAACTCACAGAGATCCACCTGTCTCTGTGTTCTGAGCGCTGGGATTACAGGCATGCACCACCATGTCTGGTGAATAGTAAGGTATTTTTAAGAAGGTCCTGTTGTCAGATGTCAAGCTGAAATTCTTATGGGATAAAGTGGAATTTTCTTCAAAACAATGCCGGTCTGGGGAAAGAAAGTGTGGAAAGTGGTACTCAGGGGACTGCGGAGAACGGCAGAGAACCCGTGATGGGCGCCTGGAATGATGCTGACCTGGTATGATGACCATGAAGTGGCCTGCTCTCTTCTTGTGTGTGTGTTATGGTTTGAGGTTTGAGGTTGTGGTTTGGCTCCCTCATTTACTACCCCCTCGGGGACAAAGAAAAGGGAGCGATTGACCATGAACCTAAACTGAGCCGGACAAACCTTCCTACCTTTAAAATGTTTCACCCCATAGTTGACACAGCACAAACAATTCTCACTAGTACAGGACTTTGGAAAATTCTATAATACACCTTTTTGAAAGAACAAAAGGCAATAGAATATATTTCAAAATAGTTAGTATATGGAATTAACTGCGACTTACAAATACACACATGTATATGAAACACAATATTATCTGATGTGTAATAAATATTTTTTTAGACAAGGTTTTATCTAGGCTAGCCTCAAAACTGAGATCCCTCTGCCTCACTCTAGGATTATAGGTGTGAGCCACCATGCCTGACTCATAGTAGTGTTTTTCAAAATACTTATTTTTCCTTTTATTCTGTTTTTTTTTCTTCAAGACAGGGTTTCTCTGTGTAGCCCTGGCTGTCCTGGAACTCACTATGTAGACCAGAATTTAGACCTCAAAATCTGTCTCTGTCTCCCAAGTGTTGAGATTAAAAACATGTACCACAACTGCCCAGCTCATTTTTCTTTAATATAACTTCTCTCCCTCTCTCTGTCCCTACCCCCTTACAACACACACACACACACACACACACACACACACACACACACACACACACACACACACACAAATACACACAGAAACAGACACATACACAAACAAATACATACAGACACACACATATAGAAATACACAAAGACACACACACAGACATACAGGCACACACACAAAGACATACACACACACACAGGTGAATCATCCAAAAACAGTTCCTGTGATGCTCTTCAGGGATTGAATTGTTCGTGTGTTTGGATAGGTGTCAGGGAATTGAGTGGTAGACTTTATATGATCGTTACAGGTCAGGGCCCTCTTACTATGGGAGGGCAAATCAATGCCTGAACTCTAGAAACAATAACAAATATAAAATGTAAAGTAGAATGTTCTGGGTAGATCACAAGGCTTGGCATCTGAGGTGGGGCTCAGCCTCAGGGAGGGGGCAAAGCCTGGGCCAGGGCACCCGAGCACTGTCAACTGACCATCACACTGGAAGGGTGGGATATGAAATTAATGACAAGGGCTGATATCTCTCGACCTCCCACAGAGCCACCAGACAGTGATCTTACCTGAGAAGGGGTCTCGATTCCTTGGAACTTAGAGCTGCTGGTTTTATCTGTTCGCCTCTTCCCAAAAATGTAAAGACTTTCCTGCCGGAAAGGGGACACCACAGCCATAGTTTAGCTGCACTCTTCCTTAAGCTGGCGGCCTCTGGGTAGAGGCTACCCCAAACAGCCCAGCTAGAAAGCTAGATCTCTAGACCAAAGACTCATAAATACATGGAAAGGCTAGAAAGTATCTGGTCCAATCTTTCTACCTTCCATTTTACAAACAAGGAACGGTCCAGGCTCCAGCCAGAGAACCATGGTACCACTGAACCTGGAGCTCACTCATTCAGTTAGATTGGCTGGCCAGCAAGCCCTTGGAATTGGCCTGATCCCCTTCCACAGACCCTCCCGTGTTGGGGTTACAGGGCATGCACACATGTGTGTGGCTTTTGACATAGGTGCGGGGGATCTGAACTCGGGTCCTCATGTTCCAACTACAGGCCCTTTACTCATGGAACCATCTCCCCACTCTCTAATGGCGCTCACTGATTCGATTAGGCAGTATGAACCACCTGTCTCTAGTGCCCTACCCTCCCATCCTGGAGTTACGGACAGGCTCATGCTACCATGTTTTTAAGTGGGTGCCAGGGTTCTGAACTCAGGTTCTTAGGCTTGTACAACAGGCCCTTTCCCCATGGAACCATTTCCCTAGCCCCTCATTAAGTTGATTTTCTCACTCATTAATTATTGATTTGTAATTTAAAAGTCACTGTCCCAGGACACCTTTTTTTTTCCCTTTCACCTGTGCCTTTGGCCCCCAGGCAGCAGACCAACTGGCTCAGCCCTAGGACAGGCATGGCATCACCCACAGCCCCCAGGGACTACAGGAAACCAGGATAAAACACCCATTTTCAAAACCTGTGTGTCATGAGTTATAAAAACGGGGAGAGTGGTGAGATTCTGGAACTGTGTGTGTTTGGAAGCCAAAGCCTCTCCTCTGTAGACTGTAGGAGAGATAAACAGAGCTTTCCGAAGTACAACCTGTAAGTGTTAAACTCCCAGCAAGCCCCTGAGGCAAATGACAGAATTCTGTTTTAAAATGTGGAAGCAGGACCAGCAAGATGGCTCAGTGGGGAAAGGAGCTTGCTGCCAAGCCTGATGACTCGAGTTTGATGCCCAGAAGCCACACAGTGGAAAGGAAAAAACCAACTTATACATACACTCTAAATAAAGGTTAAAAAAAAGATTTTTAGGAAACTGGAAAGAGCCCACCTTGTCTCCTCAGACATTTCTAGCAAGGTCAGACATCTCCCCCACACCGACTCTGACTAAGCAGAGACAATCATGTGCTGTTGTCAGTTGGAAAGTGATCATTTTTAATGACTTACCAGTCGTAAAGATGCTTAAGTCCTTTGGAAGCACTTATCTAATTAACCTTGGTATTATTCTTGGGAAGAAGGAAGAAGTCATGTGATTGGCAGTAAGGGGAGGGGGAACATTTTGACTATGTCCTATAGCCCAGGCTAGCCTTGAACTTAAGATCTTCCTGCTCCGGTATGGCATGCTGGGATCACTGGGTGGGCACCGACAAGCCCGACTGAGTCTTTTTACATTTGCATGACTTGGCTTAACTTAATTTATCTTAATCCTGCAGTTACTGTGCCCTCCCTCTATTAAAATGTTGATATCATACATATCATGATTTTTGTACTAATTTTTATTTTTTAAAATATTGCACTAAAATGTGACAAATCTTAATTACTGGAGTATTTTGCATTCCCTTAAATTTTGTGTCTCTTTGATCTTAGCCTAGTCCTGCCCCAGAACAAGAGATCGGTTAATTACCAACTGTGCATTAAACAAGGGAATACCAAAGCCAGGGTTTCTGAAAACCACCTCTCTAGTTTAACTCGTATGAGTCATGACTGAAAGAATCATATAACACAGTGATGCTTCAGAGTAAACAGATTCAATCCATGTGAGACACTAGAGTGATGCTTCTCATACCTTTGCATTTAAAACTATTTCACCGGCAATGAGGCAGGCACAAACCATTGTTCCCGTTCTTCCTAGAGAGAAAAGAGGCCATTTAAAGAGTCATTGTTCATTGTAGTGTTCAGTGTAAGAACTCACTCCAAGGACCTGGGGAGATGGCTTAGATCTCGATGAGCAGAATGCATCAGGACTTGAACTCAGATCCTAGAAACCATGTCGAAAGCTGCTGTGACAGTATCAACCTTGACCCCAGCACTGGGGGGTGGAGTCAGGATCAGAAGTTTGCTGGCCAGCCAAACTAGCCAAAACAGCTAACTCTAGTTTAGTGAGGAACCCTGTCTCAAAAATAAGGTAAAGGGCCAGCAAAATGGCTCAGGGGGGAAAGGTGATTGCTGTATAAGCTGACAACCTAAATTCAATCCCCAGAACACACATGGAGAACCAACTCCCCCAAATCATCCTCTGACCTCCACATGTGCACCATGGCATACACACACACACACACACACACACACACACACACACACACACACCATGGCATTCACATACACACACACACATGCACCATGGCATTTACATACACACACACACACACACACACACACACATGCACCGTGGCATTCATACACATATACCATGGCATTCACACACACACACACACACACACACACACACACACACACACACACACACACATATATATACACCATGGCATTCTACAAACACACACATACACACATACACACCATGGCATTCACACACACACACACACACACACACACACACGCGCGCGCACGCACACGCACACACATATTATACACCATGGCATTCACACACACACACACACACACACACACACACACACACACCACACACGCCACACATACACACCATATACATTAACACAGAATACATTTTTTAAGGTAAAAAACAATTGAGGAAGAGATCCCAAGGTCAGTTTCTGACACCATGAGCGGAAACACCTAAAATGTGTTTTGTACAAGTAAACGTGCTTGCCCCAAGTAGCCCAAATCACTGCTCTGTGACTATACCTGGAACTCGGTGTCCTACTTACTGTGGGCATGCTACACGAGTTGCTGTGGACTTTTCTTCAGTCTCTGATGCTGACATTGCAGTGGAGATAAAGACAATAGCCCTGTCAGGGCGCCAACACTAAAGCACGACTTACAGACCTGGCTTTTGTAACTGATGTAAACAGAACACCCACAACACCATCCAGCACTTGCAATGCCTATTACTCCTTCCATGTAAAAGTTCTTAATTAAAACAATTTTACCCACAGTCTCATGCAGTCCAGACTGCTCTCAGAGTCACCACAGGTCTGAAGCTAAAGACCCAGGGCATGGATTCCCTTCCCGTCATCCATCTACACCCCCACACTATTTTCTTCCATAAACGTCTCTTCTCGTTTTAAGAGATGAGATAAAGATTTGAGGTAGATACTCAAATCTGTCTTCTTCAAGGCAGGCTTGCACAAGCCTGTTTGCTCCTGCTAATTTCTGTGACTTGGGTCTTCAGCAGAGTGATAAACGGCAGGGCCTCAAATCCCAGTGACAGTATGGCAGAGTCAGCGAAGAGAAAGGACCCGAGACTCACTACCACCTCTTTCCAGGGGTGGTGAGGGACACAAAATATCTCATTAGAGGGGTCTCAGCTCAACTGCTAGTGGCCAACTGAGGTTATGGTTTGAACTCCAGGTACATCCAAGTACTGGCTAGGAAATGCTTTATTCTACAGCAATGGTAGCCTTGATCGAATGCTTTGTGGGGTGAACAAAAGGGGGTTTGGTTTGGGGAAAGCCGAACTGGCTCCATCCTGGGCCCAGTGGTATGTGTGTATGTGGTGTGTGTATACTATGTGCACTTGAGTGTGTGTGGTGTGTGAGTGTTTGAGTGTGTGTGTGTGTGAGTGTACATGAGAGTGGCGTGTGAGTGTGTGGTGTGTGAGTGTGTGTGGTTTGTATGAGTACATGTATATATGTGTGTGGTGTGTGTGCAATGTGTATGTATGTGTGCAGTGTATGTATATGTGTGTGTGAGATGTGTATGTACTTGTATATGGCGGGCGGGGTGGGGGAGGATGCTCTGTTGCTCTCTACCTCACTGTTTGAGATAAGGTCTTAAAGGTGCTGAAGATCACTGATTTGCTATGCCAGCTCATTACCAAGCCCTAGACATCTTTCTGTCTGTATCCCAGCACATGCTGGTTACAGACATGCTGGTTTTTACATGTGTTCTGAGGATCAGAACTCAGGTCATTGTGTCCACATGAAAAGCACTTCACTGACTGAACTCTCTTCCCAGCACATCTTTTAAAATATTTCTCAATTGCTTTTATTTAACAACACGATATATAATTCCACTCTACTAGAGGCCACTACTGTGGTGACATTTTATTTGTGCTGAAATGTGATATTTTATTTGTATGTTAATAAATAAAGTTGCCTAGAGATCAGAGGTCAAATAGCCATAAAACAAAAATCAGGCAGTGGTGGCACACGCCCTTAATCCCGATCACATGGCACACAGAGTCTCTGTGTGGTAAAGGACACTGCCAAGCGTGGTGACACGAGCCTTTAATCCCAGTACCAACCATAGAGACCTGGAGGTCTATATAGACAGGCAGTGATGAGGAAGTCATGTGGCTGGGCTTAGAGCCAATGAGAAGGCAGAACAGAAAGACAATAAAAACACAGGTCAGGCAGGAAGAAGCTCTCTCTGGGGAAGCTACTGCTGGTGGTAAGCTAAAGCTAGTCATGGCTATTGCTCTGGTCTCTTTGGCTATTACCTCTATATTTGGCTCTGTGTTTCTTATTTAATAAGACTGTTTAGAAATTCGTCTACACACTACAGAGAACCCTAGCCAATCAAAACACAGAGTTGTGGAGACCAGTCCCAATGGACGCATCTACAAAAGAGCGCCACACCTAAGGCTCAGGGAACATTGTAGAAGAGGGACTGAGAAGATTGAAAGAGCCAGAGGAACAGGGGTTCACTGTGAGATTGTCTCCTAGCGACACCAGAAGCTACCCCCAAAAAGTCTTGCCGACATGACTGCCCAAATGTGAGCTGAACAAGGAGGGTACCGATGAACATGCCAAACTGGACAGGAAAGCCCACAAGGCCTCACATAACCCTATACAAAGAACTAAAGACAACTGAGGAAAGCTGGGAGTGGAAGAGGAAGCTCTCCCCAGGGCAGAGCACATCCATTGGTTGGTCTGGTACCAAACAGTCAGCCCTGAAGACATACTTATGAGTAATGTTATGTGGACTCAACAGGTTCCATTTGGGAATATGTATGTTTATACGAATACGTATATGCACGCAATAACAATTGATGAAAAAAGAGGCCATGAGATTGAAAGAGCCTGGGGAGGGGTGTATGGGAAGAAGGTTTGTAGGTAGGATAGGGAGGGGAGAAATAGAATTAAAATAAAATCTCAAAAATAGAAAAGAAACCCATAAAGTACAGGCCGTGCTGCCCATAAGCTCTTGGATGGGTGACCTCCCAGTGAGACATAAATGACCTGCCGGGGGACATACTGCTAAGAAGATGGATGCTCCCTCTCCAAGAAGCCATTGAGCGCCAATAGTTCCTTAGTTACGGGGGAACTTTGTGCCCGCCAATAGTTCCTTAGTTACGGGGGAACTTTGTGCCCACCTTCCATCTCTCTTCTGGGATTTTCTCTGGTGTGAACTGTCACAACCGCTGTGAGATGTCTGGAAAGTATTGTTTCCTTATCGCTGTCCACTGCCCCAGACTCTTACAACCTCTCCCTTCCCTCCTCCACAATGATGCCCGAGCCCCGGGCAGAGGGGGTGTGATACAGATAACTGCAGTCTTTCATTCTCTATACTTGACTAGTTGTAGGTCTCTATATTAACCACCATCTATAGCAAAAAGAAGCTTCTCCGGTGATGGTTGAGAGATGCACTAAAAATGGGAATAACAAATCATTAGGAGTTGGTTTAATACGATGTCCATTTAACAGTCTCTCTTGGAGTCTGTGGACAATCTTATCATAGAACTGACCCAATAATAGTGTCATATGTGAGATTCAGCTTGTGGAATGAATCTCAAATCCAATCAAACAATGGTTGAGCCGGACGGTGGTGGCGCATGCCTTTAATCCCAGCACTCGGGAGGCAGAGCCAGGCAGATCTCTGTGAGTTCAAGGACAGCCTGGGCTACCAAATGAGTTTCAGGAAAGGCGCAAAGCTACACGGAGAAACCCTGTCTTGAAAAACAAAACACAAAAAAAACAGTGGTTGATTCCTCCCATTCCAGCAGTAAGCATGCCTTGCCAACTGGCCATTACTATAGTTTCCAGGGGTCACAGCTGGCTAAGAGTAAGGATTGCTTGTCCCCTCTGCTAGCATGAGTAGCACATTCCAGCACTGTGAAAGCTAGCCGGTAGGGATGTAGCTTCCAGGTAAGTCCCAGCTTGACCTCTCCATATTCTAGGACTAACATATGTGGTATCTTCAGCAACAGGCTCTTGCTGTCAACTTCTGGAGGGTAACCAAGAGCACTGGCAATAGCCTGTGATGTTCGGGGGCATGTGGGACATCACTGGGCAACAACAACTTCAAAAGAGCGAACCCATTCCTCAAATTGGGGCGGAGAACTAAGAAGGGGGTTCTCTATAAAGTATGAATGGCCAAGAAATGTTTTTGGTTTTTTTTTTAAATGTCCAATATCCTTAGCCATTAGGTAAATGCAAATTAAAACTACCTTCAAGATTTCATCTTACCCAAGTCAGAATGGCTAAGACAGGAAAAAAAAATGACGACAAATGCTGATGTGGATATAAGGTATGGGAAATAGTTATTCACTGCTGGTGGACGTGCAAACAGGTAAAGCCATTATGGAAATTATAGCGGAGGTTGATCAAAACTCTAGAAATAGATGATCCACGTGATCCTAAACCACTAAACCACTCGAACATATACCCAAAGGACTTCATATCTACTATAGAGACGTCTGCTCATCCATGTTTATTGTTGCTTTATTCACAATAGCCAGGAAATGAAACCAGCATAGATGTCCATCAACTGAGGAATGGATAATGAAAATGTAGTACATTTGAATAATGGAATATTAGTCATCTACTAAGAAAAACACAATTATGAAATTAACAGGTAACTGGATGGAGCTGGAAACAATCTTTCTGAGTGAGGTATCCCAGATCCAGAATGACAGATGTAGCATGTTTTCTCTCATTTGTGTCTCAGTGGGTAAACAAACCACACTGACGGGTAGATCCCATGCCCAGCAGTAGATGGCCATCACAGAATGAACTCAATGGTATTTTCGGTTAATTTTTTTTTTTGTCTCATGTTGATTTGTTTGGGCATTTTTATCTTACTGGTCTTTGTATATTATGGTTTCCAATTTTGTGTGGGCTTTGTGTGCATGTATTTCTTGTTATTTCTCACTTTTTCTTTTATTCTGACTTTTAAAAATTGGCCTGTTTGATTTTTAAAGATAGAGAGAAAGGAGGCATAGAGTTGGGTGGGTGGAGAGGTGGGGAGGATCTGGGTGATGGGGGAGGGGAACCACTATCAGAATACAGTGCGCACATTTTCAATAAGAAAAGTACTTCTTCTCTAAAATAAACCAGTGACGGATTTAGTAGTCTTGCCTGTGGTCTCAGTATTTGGAAGGAGACAGGAGGATCATGAATTGGAGGCCCGCCTGCAATACATAGGTAGTTCAAGGACTGGTTGGGCTATTAATCCAAACTTTTCCTCAAGGAAAAGAAAGAAAGAAACAAACCCAAACAAAATAAAAAAACATCTTTCTAAACAAATAACAGCAACAACAATAAAACCAATAAAAGTCTAATGGTATTTCCAAAAGAAAACATACTCATGGCCAACAGGTATATAAAAATGCTCAACGTCACCAATCATCAAGGAAAAGCATATTAACCACAATAAAATAAGTATGATAAAGTGATATATGTGTTAATTAGTTGCATTCAGCCACTCCACAATAAATATAATGACAAAAATATAATGCATATCATAATATATATAATCTCTGTCAATTAAAGAGAAAATATAGCCTTAAAATAAAAAGTGTTATTCTATTCTAAAGATAAAACATCATTGGTATTTTTACAGACTTACATTGTCAAGTTAAGAGTAAGATAATCTAAATATTTGGTAAGCAGGGGAAAATATTCGCACCCTTCCTGAACTCTTTTTTCTCCTTCCCTTGACTCCCACGGTCCTCTCTGCACCTCTGCCATTGCCTTTCCTGTCTTCTTACATCTTTCTGTCCTGAAGCCAGTTAGTTTAAAGTGTTAATGATTAATATGGTTAATAGCGTTAGTTCTCATGCATGTTTCTTTTCAAAGAGGAAAATTTTAAAAAGGCAGTGTTACCTTTTCCTCCCATACAGTGAATCGCCACAATGTTTTCAGGATGTTGAGCCATCCAATCATTTACTTCTTTGGAGAACAACAACATTTCCCTGATTTCAAAAATAAGATTTTTCATTCAATTAAACATTTTTTCCAAAATAGTCATTTTCTAGAACACCGAGCCTTGGTATTTAGCGCTTTTCTGACAGTCAGCGTGGGGTAAAACTTACTCAAGAGTGGGGACATTATGATCATCAACCATGATTCTGCGGACCCTGTAGTGGAAGTTCTTAGGGTCATAAGCACTCTCACCTAAAATAAATAATACATATGTCATACATCTATGCCTAGTAACACAGCAAATGATAAAGTTATATAAATAGATACAGAGTTTCAATTAGAAAATTCCTTATCTATCTTCAAGAGTAGTTTCTGTTAGCTCTAAAAACAATTTTTCAGAGTTGCAAAAAAAAAAAAAAAAAAAAGTTTGGCAATTTTCCACCTCAGGCAAACTAAACTCATTAAAAAAAATTTTTTTTTTCAAGACAGGGTTTCTCTGTGAAGCTTTCGAGACTGTCTTGTTACTCGCTCTGTAGACCAGGCTGGCCTTGAACTCACAGAGATCCGCCTGCCTCTGCCTCCCAAGTGCTGGGATTAAAGGCGTGCGCCGCTGCTGCTGCTGCTGCTGCTGCTGCTGCTGCTGCTGCTGCTGCTGCTGCTGCTGCTGCTGCTGCTGCTGCTACAGCTGCCACTACCACTACCTGGCCACTAAACTCATTTTTGTTTTGTTTTGTTTTTCCTCTGGAGCTGAGGACCGAACCCAGGGCCTTGCGCTTGCTAGGCAAGTGCTCTACCACTGAGCTAAATCCCCAACTAAATCCCTCACTAAACTCATTTTTAAAAGGAAGCTTCACCTTTCCCTTTCTAGTGACCTCTCAGGACATAGTCATGAGTGTTAGAAACCGCAGAGCAGAGACAAATGTACAGTTGACAGAGATGTCGGCTCCTGAAAATTTTCATTTAATATACAGGCATTGAACAAATCACCAGAGACAGAGTGGTAAACTGAGGTATAATATTCCCAAAGGGTTGCATTTTTGTTTCTATTTTAACCCAGTGCGCTCTCCTCATCACAGCCTACTCCAGGTGGGTTAGAGAGCAGACTTGTGAATGTTTGCACCTTCAATGTAACCTAGACGGAAGAAAACATTCCCTCATCCTAGAACAGACATTCCCTAACATGGCTCACCTCTGCGCTGTCTGTTCGGTCCTTCTAGGCCCACCTAGCCCTCTCTCCTGGGGTACTTGGTGCTGGGTGAGCTACCTTTCCTACCACATGAGGCCAACACAAGATGGGGAATTTTACTCTAACTCTAAATACTTATGAATAAATGAAATGTAGGAGAGGAGTCAGCAGAACCAATCTGTCCTCTACCTACAGTAACACAAAAGTGAGTCGTGTACATACTGCATAGATTGTAGACTTGATAGTGGTCTGGATGCTTGGAGTCAAGGAACCGCACAACCTCCTAAAGACAGACAGACACAAATGTTACCTATGCAGTGTCATCCAGAAGTAAGCATGGAGCTACTAGAAGTAACCAAAAATGGTTACAATTGCTCCACCTGCTTCTCATTGGTATGGGGGATATCTAGTGAAAATTCCCTGAATATGAGGATATGTAGATTTTACATCCTCTGTAATCTGTTATTAAAGAAGGCTGAGATATTCATATTAGCCTCTGCCATAATTTGAATTGAATGCCCCCTGTAAGTTCACATGTTTAAATACTCGGTCCCCCAGCTGGTGGTGCAGTTTGGGAAAGTTATGGAAGCTTTAGGAGGTTGAGTCTTGCTAGACAAGTGGACTACTGGGAGAAAGTATTGAGGCTTTATATCATAGTATCACTTGTTCACTCTCTCCTTCCTGAGTGGATACATTGTGACCAGAAAAGAAATTCTCCATGATACATAATAATCAAAACACTAAATGTACCAAAGAAGAAAGAACATTGGAAGCTGCAGGGGAAAAAGACCAACTAACATATAAAGGCAGGCCCATTAGAACACCACCTGACTTTTCAATGGAGAATCAAAAGGCCAGAAGGGCTGGATGGATGTTCTACAAACTCCAAGAGACCATAGATGCCAGCCCAGACTGCTATACCCAGCAAAACTATCAATCTCAATAGACGGAGAAAGAAATTCGTGACAAAGCCAAATTTAAGTAGCATCTATCTACAAATCCAGCTCCACAGAAGGCACTAGAAGGAAAATTTCAACCTGAAGAGATGAACTCTTTCAAAAGGTTCCACAAAACAAGTCTGGGGTTATCTTATCCGTGTTTACACACAGTGTTCCTGCAGGGAACTTTTAATTAGGAAATATTGTAATGAGGCAGAATGCTAGATCCCCTCTCCTCTGCATCACACACCACATAACTAGATTCCATTAAACTTTTGAACTGCTTCCACACCTTTCAAATAAGTTAAACTATTTCATTGTTTTAAATGTTTTAGATTGTTTACAATACAATATTCTAAATTTTTTTTTCAGGGGTTGCTATTGTTTTGTTGGCCATCATACTATAGAACACAAATGAAATTCACTTAACTTATAAGAAGATAGTAGGATTTAAACTATAGAAGTGGTTGTGACGAGCCCGGGAGTTCTGTCATTATATAGGCATTGCTCTTTCAGGCAGTAGTCCAGCCCTGATGATTTCTAATTGCATTGAAATGGTTTTACTGATAAATCACTGTGGTTGCCAAATCTTTACTCCAAGAGCAGAGGTTTTCAAACAAGGGTGCACTGGTATAGACTACAAACATGGCTGCTGTTTTTATAAATTATTTGGACTTTTGACTATTTTCTCCTCTCTTTTATTTGCTGTTTCCACATCAGAGCAGATTGCTGTCTTGATTTTTTTTTTCATGACAGGTCACATGAATTTCTCTCCTGCTAAAAATGCTTGCCTTTCTTTTAACATATTGACATGTGAAAAGGGACATATTCACTTCATAAATATTTCCATGAGGAAGTTAAAAATGATGAACTTAAATGTTGTATGCACAGACTTGTCTCCACGTATCCAGGTCCTCTAAGGAGTGTACTTCAGGATAGCAGAACATTTTATGCAGACATGGAAATGATTAAAATTGCTTTTTAGTCACATGATTTGGAAATTGCATAGAAAGCTTATCTTACATCTTTTTTAAAAAATATTTTTATTTTATAATTTAATTTTACTTATCAGTCACAGATTCCCCTGTCCTCCCTCCTCCCACCCACCCCCCATTCCCACCTCCTCCAAGGCAAGGTCTCCCCTGGGGAGTCAGCCCAGCCTGGTAGACTCAGCCAAGGTAGGCCCAGTCCCCTCCTCCCTACACCAAGGCTGAGCAAAGTATCTCAGCATAGGCCCCAGGATCCAAAAAGCCAGCTCATGCACCAAGGACAGGTCCCAGTTCCACTGCCTGGGGGCCTCCTAAACAGTTCAAGCTAATCAACTGTCTCACTTCTCCAGAGGGCCTGGTCCAGTTCCATGGGGGTTTCTCAGCTATTGGTTCACAGTTCATGTGTTTCCGCTAGTTTGGCTATTTGTCCCTGTGCTTTTTCCAATCATGGTCTCAATATCTCTTGCTCATATAATTCCCTCCTCTCTCTTGCTGATTGGACTCCTGGAGCTTGGCCGTGGGTCTCTGCATCTGCTTCCATCAGTCACTGGATGAGAATTCTATCATAACAGTTACAGATATATCATTACATCACGGGAAAGCTCATGCAATCAACTAACCTGGGCTCACAGGGGCTCGCAGAGACTGAACTGACAACCAGGGAGCCTTCATGGGACTGACCTATGCACTCTGCATATATGTTACAGTTGTGTAGTTTGGTCTTCTTGTGAGACTTCTAACAGTGGGAACAGGGGCCGTCTCCGACTCTTTATTGGCTTTTGGGACTCTACTCCTCATACTGGGTCACCTTGCCCAGCCTTAATACATGGGGAGGTGCTTAGTCTAACTGCACCTTGAAATGCCATGTTTTGTTGATATTCATGGGAGACCTGTCCTTTCCTGGATGGGGACAGAAGAAGAAGGGGTTGAGGGTTGGAAGGGGGGAGATGGGGGGGTTAACTTTATCTTAATAAACAGTGCATGTATAATCAGAAAATAAGATAGCTGAGAAGATTTGAGGATTGTAGGTAAAAGCACTGTGCATTTTCTCAGTGGCTGAGCCTTTGTGTGGCTCTCTACAATCCTTGAAATTTTTCCTTCAGATGCAAAAGTGGAAGAAATAACAGTCCCCTTTGAAAGTCTTCTTGCTACAGCTCCACCTTTATGTGTCTACACCTGCATCACACCCTTCTCCCTCCACCTGTCTGGCGCATTTCTTGCTACAGAAACAGCAGATGTTACAGTCTCTATCTGCTGAACGCGGCAGTAGTTTTTGTTTGCTAACCCTATAGATCCCACATCTGGAGCACCTGGGCTACTTAAAGGCAACACTGAACATTTCTTTGTAAGTAAAGCTCAAGTTTATTTTACCCTCGGGTTGGAGAGATAGTTCAGTTTGTACTTTGCAAGCATGAGAACCTGAGTTTGATCCCCAAACCCACCTTAACAGGCTGGATGTGGTCAAATGCTTATAACCCAGCACTGGGAAGATGGGGACAGGCACATCCCTGGAGCTCACTGGACAGCCAAGTTAGCCTTGGTGAGCTCCAGACCAGTGACAGAGCCTGTCTCAAAAACAAAGTGGGTGTTAACTGATGAACAGCACTCATAGCTGTCCTCCAGCCTCCACACACACACATATGCACACACTTACATACGAACACACACATACACACATGATACAATAAAGATTTTCAAGAGAAAAAATATCCTCTGCTTTGCATACTTAAGGTCAGTCCAAATATAATCCTGTATTTATAACATCCTTTATTTCTCCTTCCTTCCTTCATTTCATTTTCTTTCTTCCTTTCTTTTTCTTTTCTCCCTCCCTCCCTCCCTCCTCCTTTCCTACCTTCCTTCCCTCCTTTCTTTTTTTTTCGAGTCAGGGTTTTTATGTGTAGCCCTGGCTGTCCTGGAACTCACATTGTAGACCAGGCTAACTGGCTAGCCTCAAACTAAGAGATCTGCCTGCCTCGGCCTCCTGAGTGCTGGGACATGTGCTGTTGGGAGCAGAGAGGTCCTTGTACTCAGAGCAGCACTAAGAAAACCAGGAATGTTAGTCAGGAATGGGATGCCTCCTCAGTGGAGGAGATAAAAATCAATTGCCTGCATTCCATCCAGAAAGCTGAAGAGTGGATTTTGTTAATGACCTGGTGACCTTTTTGTCGTCTGTGGAGGCAGACCTCACCCAAATTCCCCGGAATGATTATCGCAGACTCTCCCCTCCCTAGACCATTACCCATCCTTAGGGGAGATGTCACAAGTACTCTATGGCCTGCTGACCTCTATGCTATCAGTCAGAGATCACACCAGATTCTAGGCCCTTGAGCTCTAGAACCCACCCTCATGGTCACATGCATTGTGTAAAGGGTCTCTATGTAGTCACACCTTCAGCTTTATTGTGCACCTGGGATTGCATTGATTGGACTGATTGTTGCCTGGAAACCTTTTCCCAAATAGTGTTTTAAATATGCTGACAATGAACCGCCTGGCATTGGACCCCCTCAGTCTGATCCAGGCTGAGGAAGTCAATCTGCACCCAGTTTTCATTCTTATCTCTTCCAGAGGTTTGCTTCCCTGCCTGGACACCTTCAGGAACCCCCTCCGTGGGGCACTACATCCTTACCATCCTTTCTTTTTAAAGATTGAGGAAACCACAGGAATGTTTTAGCGTCCTCTCAGGAGTTAAGGGTCCACGGACATCACCCTTGAGTTAAAGTGACATCTGTCCAAGATGTGCAGCTGTTGCGGACCGTGTGTCTGTCCCCTGAAGCTCTCTGGCTAGCCAAGGCCACCAGCAGCTGAACTAATGGCTTAGATCTGAGCCTGCATTCTGAGTGAAATACAGTCATTCAACCCATAGAGAGGCTTTTGTGGTAGCTTGTGTCTTATGCATTTTATGAAAATAGCTTCTCTTTGAATACTTTGATTAAAACAGTAAAGCAACCAATAACTGTCAATCAGCACCCCGAGGAGATATCAGTTCAATAACTGATAGAAACCAATAGTCCGGAGCTCACTTGAGAAATGCCTTTGTTTTGATTTTCAGCTACATGAAGGTTTGGGGTTTTTTTTTTTTTTTTTGGTTTTTTTGTTTGTTTGTTTGTCTTTTTAGCAACAATTTAGCTAATATTAAATACGGCTAAATTGAGACCAACTTTGTCGAAAGAAAAGCGGCTCAATTTAAGTAAACTATAATTAACTCCAAGTTACCAACTTAATCTATTGAAAAACAATACTATCTACCAAAGGATGTGTTACCCATAAAGCTTAATTGTGGCAATTTTGGGAGGTGAATTAAATATGACTGAAGAAGCTTCGTTGAAAATTTTGCATTTGTTGCATGTAGATGAACA